GCTCAAACACTATGAGCTGTGACACAGGGAGTAGTCACTATTGCTGACTTTCTGGGCTAGGAGTAAAAAAAAAAAGACCCTCAATTACTATGCTGTGTGATGTCCATAATTTTTTTTCCTTTTTTTTTTTTAATTGATAAGTAGGAAGTTGTCCAAAGATTATCTATTTTGGGCTGGGAGGCTTTTTAAGACATGGGATAATTGAGGGATTGATCTGTTGTGTTCTCCCTTTCTCCCACCCCTAACTTTGATTCCTTTTAATGGATCATGAAGCATGGAACCCGCACCAGTTTGCAGTGGTGGGTTAGACTGGATGCTAACCCAGGAGACCTTTAATACAAGAATAGCCTGGTCATTACAGTGGGTGGGTGTGTCTGCACGAACACTGCTGTGGCTGCTGCCCAGATAAGAGCCCAGCACAAGAGCACATCCATATGAGTGTCAAGATAGGACATTTAGGACCAGCAACTGTTTGTGGAAAGCCTTGCTCATGTACAAATTTGCCTGTGCCAGCTTTGTCATGCTATGGTCCCACTTGTGCATTACAGGACTCAAAGCAACTCTCCCTAATCCATACCCTCACTAAGGTTTTGTTAAGCTCATACCAAGTAGTAACTGTTATTTAAACTTTTAAACATCAATTTTCTTTTACTGTAAAGAGAAGAAATTGAGGGCCTTCATCTATTAGTGCACAGGTCACAGCTAAGTAGCATAAATTGTCTGCTAAACTTTTCCCTCAAATTTATGTGGGAGGGGTAGAGAAGGATCCCTGTTCTGATCTGCTAAGCAAACAGCAAAGCATCCCCTGCTTCAGGCACAGTTCCCAGGGCTGGTGCTGAACATGTTGTGTTGAACATAAATAAATAATTCTCAGTGTGTTGTACCTCTTTCCTTTTGCAGTTCTGGGAGGTGCTTGGTGAGGAACATGGGATTGACATCACTGGGAACTACCGTGGGGATTCACCACTGCAGCTGGAGCGAATTAACGTGTACTTCAATGAGGCTTATTGTAAGTGCTCAGCAGAGCCAGCAGGGAGGGTAAAATAAGTAATTAAAAAAACCCACAAAAAGCCTAAACCACTCTAGGTGGATGGGACATTCCAGAGTGGACTGTAAGCCTGTTTCTTTGACCACTAGCAGTAATTATTTGCATTCATTTTGTTTTGTTCCAGCCCATAAATACGTGCCCCGTTCCATCCTGGTGGACCTTGAGCCTGGGACGATGGACAGTGTCCGGTCCAGCAAAATTGGCCCCCTCTTTCGACCTGACAACTTTATCCATGGTATGTACAGCACACTGCCAGCAAACTGACTGCAGGTGAGTGTCCCGAGGGCCTTGGGCATCCTTTAAAAATTCTCCTGTTAACTTTGTGGCTGTTCTTTCTGTAATTCTGTTCACAGGTAATTCAGGTGCTGGCAACAACTGGGCCAAGGGCCATTACACAGAGGGTGCTGAACTGATTGAAAACGTCATGGACGTGGTCAGGAATGAGTGTGAGAGCTGTGACTGCCTTCAGGGATTCCAGCTCATCCATTCCCTCGGCGGTGGCACAGGCTCGGGCATGGGGACACTCCTCATCAACAAGATCAGAGAGGAATATCCTGACAGGATCATGAACACCTTCAGCGTTGTGCCCTCACCCAAGGTATCCGACACAGTGGTGGAGCCATACAACGCCATCCTCTCCATCCACCAGCTGATAGAGAACACAGATGAAACCTTTTGCATTGACAACGAAGCTTTGTATGATATATGCTTCAGGACATTAAAGCTCACCAATCCCACCTATGGGGACCTCAACCACTTGGTGTCCCTAACGATGAGCGGCGTCACCACCTCACTGCGTTTCCCTGGCCAGCTGAACGCGGATCTACGGAAGCTGGCAGTGAACATGGTGCCCTTTCCTCGCCTGCATTTCTTCATGCCCGGCTTTGCTCCGCTGACAGCTCGGGGCAGCCAGCAGTACCGGGCCCTGACGGTGCCAGAGCTCACCCAGCAGATGTTCGATGCCCGGAACATGATGGCAGCCTGCGACCCCCGCCGTGGGCGCTACCTCACCGTCGCCTGCATCTTCAGGGGCAGAATGTCCACCAGGGAAGTGGATGAGCAGCTGCTGTCTGTCCAGACCAAGAACAGCTCCTACTTTGTGGAGTGGATCCCTAACAACGTGAAAGTGGCCGTGTGTGACATCCCACCGCGAGGGCTGAAGATGGCAGCCACGTTTATTGGCAATAACACGGCCATCCAGGAGCTCTTCATCAGGGTGTCTGAACAGTTTTCGGCCATGTTCAGAAGGAAAGCCTTTCTCCACTGGTACACAGGGGAAGGCATGGATGAGATGGAGTTTTCTGAAGCAGAAGGTAACACCAATGACCTCGTGTCCGAGTACCAGCAGTACCAGGATGCCACTGCAGATGTGGAGGAATTTGAAGAGGTAGAAGTGGAAGCAGAAGCCAAGCCAGAAAAGGAAGCAGAGTAAAAAGTATCAAAATATTCTCTGAATGAGCCCATTCACATTCACTAAAGACAAAGCAATAGCCATCATACCCAAAATAACACACTTCTTCAGAACTTTTTCTCTGCATCTGGCCAAATATATCTGATTTTACAACACACTGCTATTGAAATTAATGGCAGCTCTGCTTGACTGTCTTAAACAACTGTTGACACCGAATCTCTCCCAAAACCAATCCACTATGAAGACATGTTATCTCATACCAGTCTTTCCTGTAAATGGATTCACTTTTAGCATATAATCACCAGATACTGAATGTACTATACAGTCGCTGTGCCTGTGTATATAGATCAGGATCATAAGCAATAGCAAAATATGCTGTCAGTTCATCACATTTATTTATTCTCAGGTAAACAGTCCCTGCTGATTGTGAACTTGTTACTGTTTTAGGAACACATGCACAGCTCTAAGGCCTGCAAAGGCAGTGACTTTTATCACTCCACAGACTGATGTGGATCTGCAGAAACAACAGGGGGAAAATGACTGAATATGCACTTATATATTCTTATAAGTAGTCTAATTGTTCTATCACATTGCTGGCATATATTATTGCAGAGCTTTATTCATTATCATAGTGTGATTTGTTTCTATTTCTAACTACAGGTTGAGTTACATTAGCACACTAAGTTGTGACACTGTGTAAAAGTTTTGGTGTGGTATTTTTTTTTTTTCCTAGGTACTAACTACTGTAAATTTTTTTTCCTAACATTCAGTACAACAAAAATGACATAGAATGGTTTGTAGTTTATTAATATAAATTCTATGGCAGTCACTAAAACAAAACTGTATTTTGCCTTTGGTGAAAAACATTTCTTACCATCACAGCTGCCTACTTAACAATGTATTTATAATATTCTTTTAAATAAAGATCATATACCATTCTATGAAAGTTTTATACTTGAAACATTTGATAGACAAACCCCCATAGTTTATTTGTGCAAGAACAAACCCCCATAGTTTATTTGTGCAAGAACTAACTTTGAATGACATTAGTTACACTCTTAGATGAAAAGGTTTGTTGTAATGCTTCATGTTTGAGTTCAGTCTCGGTGAAGGAACCTGAAGCCAACTGTCCTGTGCAGTGGGACAATGTCGTTCCTGTTATGAGGATACACAGCAGCAGGAAAATGCAAAAATTTCCCCCAAAACCACACAGCTTGAAGTGCATCTTCACCTCCCAGACAAGAGAAGTGTTCCCCTCCATCCCTGCTTCCCAGGGTACGTGTGTCCCTCTCCCCCTCCTCCCTGTCTTGACAGTGTTAATGAGGATAAACAAATCAGATTCCACTGTTTCCTTCTCCATTTCTTACATGACACCAGCTCTCCCAATTCCTGATTCACTGCCTCAGACTTGGAGATTAGATCCCCAGCAGCACATCCATGGCACAATTGTCCTGCTTCCAGTTTTCAAAACTATATGCTATATTCTCTGTCAATATAGATTTTAGCCAGGATTTTTTTCAAAGTAATCATTACAATGTAGCAGGCGGTAAAGTTTTAAAAAACAATCAAATCTCTCACTCATTTATGTACCTGAAATATCAGCATGAAACTCAAAAAGAGATTTGGCTTAAAAATAAACAGTGTTGCTACTAAATGTCCAGACTGTACTAAAGGCAGTCTTTTATTTTAACAAAACTGAAAAATAAATGTCTCTGCAGAACAGAAACTTTGTTTCAAGAGGAACAACACTTTCCACACATTCAGAAATTACATTTATTAATGTAATGTATACATATATTAATGTCAATTTACGTACAGAGTCAAGTTCTACAGTTCATGTGATGACATTACACTGCAGTCTTGAGCTTGCCTACAGCTTTGCAGTCTGCTGTTATTCACCACAAATCAGCTCCTACAAGAGATTAAAAATACAAGTTATCTGATTTAAAAATGTGTGCAAGGTACACTTCAAACAAAAGGTAATAATATTTAATCTCAGATCAGTTATAGAAGTTGTTCTATCCAGAACAGAAACTATTTCAGCTGCTTGTGATGTATGGACTGGCACAAATAAAGTTACAAGCAGCATTGGTCTCACAGAGAGCAGAAAACCCATACAACGGATTTGCTGATCAGGGGAAGGAGCAGTTCAAAGACGCTATCTGTTGGCTTAGCAAGTATCAAACATGTGAATACCACAGAGAAACCTGTGAGCATCACTACAGAGCCCACACAGTTCTGTGGAAGCCCATAAAAAATCTGACCAAACCCCAAGGAGCTCAGTGCGGGGCTTGGCAGACAGAACATCTCACCTCACTAATGGCATTAGGCTGTTTCCCACCTCACACGCAATCAGGCCACAGACACCTGCACACGTTCGCACCACAGCAGCCGCAATCCCCTCCACTCCCATGCCTGGAAATCCAGCCGATTATCTCCAGATATTGGGGATTAATGGACTCAGCAGTTACAGACCATCGCTAAGGCCACTCCTGCACTACAGAGCTCGAGCCACGCACCCAGCCCACCCCACCCGCTTACATTTCAGTCCTTTTTGGGTTTCACCGTTTTCACCGTGGCCACCGCTGCCTTCTCCGCCTCCGCTTTGTACTGCGGCTTCATGGCGGCCCGCACAGCCTGGGCGCAGATCTGCGAGTAGCGGATGTAGCTGCGGCCGGGGGGACACAGGGCNGGCAGGGGCCCGCCTCCGGCCTGCCGGGGCCTGCCTGGCTGCCAAAACCACGAGACTCGGTGCAGTGGTTCAGAGCTGGTAATTTGCCGAAAATACATTAGAGGTCAATTACGTAAAGAACATAAATTAAAGGCCAAGTTTTCTGTGAAGCTCATGGCTAGTTATAGAGCACTTGTGTTAGTTACCATTAACTCCCTCCTCAGTAATCCTGTTGTAATCTAAGCATCCAAGCAAATGGATGAAAGGGTGTGTTTTGCACCTAAATCTGTTCTTACTCCTCTGTACCATCACTTTTTGGTTTTTTTTCGAGATAAGACACTAAAAAAAACCCGTATTACAAGGATGTGGAACCAGTGATTTTTTAAACAGGTTGTGCTCATTTTGAAGCTGGTCTGTGTGTGGCTAAGCTGTGACAATTCTGTCCCATCAGACACGGTGCCTTGCCGTAGGTTTCCTTTGGACGTTGATACAAACACCTGAAATTCAATCATTTGCTCTAAACAAATCCATGAAAGACAACATAATAAATTAGAAACTATCAACACAAAGAAAAAATAGTCAATTTCGCACATATCATAAGCAAAAAGTATTACAATATTCAAATCATGTTTGATATGTAAGCAATTTGGTCCTAACCTAATGTTAATTTAAATAATTACGACAAAATACTTAAGGAGATGAAATATTGACTTTTTAACAAATCCTTGCACTTTTGTTTGCTTACTTCCTTTCATCCAAAGTCAAACCATTTTTAAAGAACAGAATAATTTTCAGCTTTATTAGAGATCTCATTTAGTCCAGAACCATTGCAATTAACAATCCACACAATTTACTCAGGGAAGAGCCACCAGAGCAAAAAGAACAACTGTCCACCAGATATGTCAGTCTGTCTTCAGCATACAATCATAAGATCTGGACCACTGATCTGTTTTGTTTTTGTTTTTTTAACTGTTAAACAACTCTGCTCCTATAAAATTCTGGGTTAATTTCTTAAACAGACATATTGCAATTGTTCCTACTTAATTTTAAAGAAATAACTAGTGTAAACGAGGCAGAAAACAATACTTGCTTGCACTTGTTTTCTTCTTTATTTTTGTGTCAAACATATTCTAATTTTTGACAGATGTGGCATATTGGAGCAAAACGTTCCAGTTTGCATAAATTAAATAAATTAAAAATATTTGTTATGACAAACATGTTTCTGCACTTTTAGAACAGAAAGGTGCCAGTGATATTTAAAGGAAATATATTTGGTTTTGAAGCCCCAGTGATAATGATAACAAAAAGATACAAGACAGCACCAAAGATTTTGGGAAGCCCCTCTGTGCTAAGCAGCACATTTGATGTAAGACAAGTAACTGCAGTACTTACATCAACTGAGAAAGGGGATGTTACATGCAAATGCTTCTTTAATGAGAACACCTGATGATTTGATAGATAAAAATGATTAGCACTAAGATTATTTAAAGCCTCAGGGCAGCTCAGGCCACATAGATGGCTTGGCAGAGAAAAATCATGCCAGTTGAGCTGGGCATTTTTTTTGAGCTACATGCTCCTGTATTCCTGCCCCACAGCTTCTCTGGTTCCCCTCCCTAACCCATTTCTCACTCTTTTTTGTTCCACAATTTTCTTTTCCCACCACACCTTCTCTCTCTGTACCTGCCTGTGAAGTGCCTCTGCCTGCAATTCTTTGAAATTAACTCAGATATAAATCCATAATGGAGATATAGAATCTGGATGCAATTATTTACACATTTAGCTCTATTTACTATTTGTTGGTCTTGATAGATAAAAATTCAGCATGAACTGAAAAAGCTAAACCTTTGGGAGAGGTCTGCTGAGGCAGACTGGATATCAATCAGTGATGGAAACTGTGATCTACAAAAATTCCAGAATAAATATTGATGTTTGTGCAGCTGTTACAAGGCACCGTTATAGATTTATATGACCTGTTCTCATGCCCAGTTTAGATGCCAGGAGATATTTTGTAAAACCCTAAACTTTCCTCAGGTTAAAATTTTCAGAGAGAGAAAAAAAAGAGAGAGCAGGTAAAGGAGAGAAATTTAGAAGGACAGAGAGAGGTTGCAGAGAGAAGGGGATAAGTTAGGAGGGTTAGATGCAGAGATCAAGAGAAGCTGCTGCGGTGCGATTAGCAACATCCAGAAATGTGAGCGTGGACAGGTCTGGGGGAACTGAGGATGTGAGGGACATGTCCAAAGACACTGAGGGAGTGAGGGAAGAAGCATCTTGAAAGCTGATATTGGAGACATCCAGAAAAGGTGTAGAGATGAGATTGGAAACATCCTCAGGAGTTGAAGAAGATAATCCAGAGGAGCGCTGAAACATGAAATAATTAAAATCGGTGAGGTCTAGAGATTCCGACGAGGTGGAGGAGCTGTACTCGGAGACACCTGGTGAAGATGGAGGGATTGTACAGGAAAAGTCCAGGGAAGCTGAGGAGGTGAGACTGGAAACATCTGTGGAGGATGAAGAAGTGAGACTGGAGAGATCTAGAGAGAGTGAAGAAGTAGGGCTGGAGAAATCTGTGGATAGAGAGGTGACACTTGAGAGATCTAAAGAGATTGAAGAACTGTCGCCAGACTGATCCAGAGAGCCTGATGAAGTGAGACTTGATAGGTCCAGTGAAACTGAAGAGGAGAAACTGGAGCGCTCCCAGGAATCTGAAGAGGTGAGACTGGAGAGCTCTAAGGAAATTGAAGAGGAGGTACTGGAGAAGTCTGAGGAGAATGAAGACGTGAGACTTGAAAGATCCAGAGAGGATGAAGAAGTGAGACTGGAGAATTCCACAGAGGATGAAGAGCTCAGACTGGATAAATCCAATGAATCTGAAAAGGGGATTTTAAAGAGTTCCAAGGAGGCTAAAGTCTTGACACTGGAGGGGTCCAGGGAGGCCAAAAAAGTGAGACCAAGTAGGTCCAGGTAGGTTGAAGAGATGACACTGAAAAGCCAAATAAATCCCCAACATGATGGGTGTTAAATCAGGAGTATTTTAAACAAAAGATCTCTATCACACCAAAACAAAAAGACAGCATGACCCCAAAAATATTTTTTCAGAAAATAATGATTCAAACTGTGTGCTTGGTGTTTTAGTAGTTTCTCTTTTGGTGCAGAAACACTCCAGTAATAGGAGCCCAAAGAATTATTGAGAACATTGTGCCTTTCTGGGGACCGGTAGAGAATCACACATACAGTTGCAGACATTTTTCTCTCCTGGCATGTCTGTCTTTGTTCAACCAGATTTATATTTCTGTGTACCATGTGCAGGATTTGGGAGCTAACAATGTGCTAAGTTCATTCTGTTATTCAGATAAAAAGAGGTCTTATTTTGTTACCTTTCTATTATACCTCTGGATAGAAAACCTGTATATTAACAATATTTTTGTTATTTGTGCTAGTTTGAATTGTTTAATAAAAATACTGTAAAGAGAAGTTGTGATGGAAGGCAGACATGATTAAAAAGGGAACAGAACAGCTTAAATTTCAGTTCAAAAAGGTGCATCTAATTATAGTGTGAGTAGATCAAGAGGCTGATCCACAGCTGCCTTCTCTCGTCTCCAGACTGCGCCGCAAAGCTCAGAGCGCTCAAACCTGCAGCTGCCTCTCCAGACAGGCACAGGAAGGCACAAAAAGCTCTTCACTCATCACAAGCACATTTTTTGGAGCAAGAAAGTGCAAGATACAGGTACAGGAAGCTGCAGGTGAAGCCCCCCCAGCTTTGCCCATGTTCTTACACAACCATGGCCAGATGAGTGTGTAATGGATTTAACATAATCACCATGGGTGCAACTCCCACCCAGGTCACCTCTTAAGTGAAGCAGGTGTCTGCTGAACAGCCACTGAACTTGAATGGTGTCTCACTATGCAAACATTAAAATCCTGGGGATTTTGCACAATGCAAAAATTCCCACACTAAAAAGAGCTGCTTATATACCATTGATGACATCCCCAAAAGTTCTTGAATATATTTAACATTTAGAGATAATGCTTCTGTAATTTAAGAGCTGTTGCAACATGGTTGCAATTCTTTCAAGAGCACAATGTTTATAGATCAAAAGGCAAAACAAATTACTTTTTCCAAACATGCATAATTTATGATAAAGTGACAAGTTTGCTTGCTGCCTTGTATTTTTAATAAAACATAAAAGTAATTAACCCCTTAAGAATCCCTTGCTATCTAAACCCATTATAATTTTGTCACTATCTTTAATCTCAAAGGTTTCTCAAGTGCATTTTACAGGGGAGAACAAATATTTTTTAAAAAGGGCAAGTTAAACTAAAAAGCCGGCATCCAACAGGCTATAAATTCCATCATCTTTTCACTGAGTTCTTCTGTCCTAATTTAAAATAATAAAGTATTGCACTTTTTCCTATGAAATAACACTGTCAAGAAAAGTGGAATTACAGTCATCTTTGTACAAAATGCAGAGGTCAGTAACAACGTTTCCTACCTTGGGTAGCTGTGGATTTACCTCCTTTCTCTGCCTGGGTAAGCCATACTGGGCTGTGCTGGTAAAGCTCTGCTGTTCTCTCTGCTGCTGACCCTAATCTGCTGCACAGCCGCTGGAAATGATGCCATGCTGATGACAATACAGGTCATCTCCTGGTAAATCTCCTGTCTGAGCACAGCACTGCCCAGAGTGCCAGCAAACACCTCACTGAAATCAGCTCTAATCTTTATCTTAAGATTCAGCTCTGTGCTGTTTCCTGTTATAGGACAGTATTCTCAGGGCTAGTTGATGAAGCAGATGAAGACATTAATTTTTAACTTTTGGACACCTGGATTCAAAGTAAAAATAATTTTGCAGTGCCATCCAAGTCTCAGCTGTCCATTCTACAAAATCTGGCATAAATAGCCTGAGGAGGGACGCAGGATCTGCAGAGCACAATTCAGGTACACTCAAGCTTTAAAAATCTTGTGCATTACTTCCTCTTTTCATGTGTTTAATAACTTCTGTTACTTTTTAAATGTGGTTATAACAAAATAGCATGATGATGTAAGATATTTTGTCCACAGCTGGTGCTCATGGTCCTCCTAAGGTAAGCAATTAGTTCAGCTTAGTTGTAACATGCAGCTTTACCTGCAGAATAATTCAGTTCTACAGCAACATGTAAAGCAAAACTATACGGTTATTTAAAATATAAATTAACAGGTCCTGTGCAAGAGAAAGAGCAACCCCCACTTTAAGAGATGGAAGGATTCTACAGTGACTCACTGCTTCCACACAAGCTCTTTATCAGCATTCTTCAGTTCTTCCAAAGGCATGAACCTCAACAGGTTTCTGACCTTCCCTTTGAACCAATGCTGTCAGAGCCAGGAGATTGGCAATGTTGCAGTTATCACACAGTGGGTGCTCATGTTTACTATATATGACATTTATTGGAAATATAAATGCAAGTACAGACCACAAGAGACAGATCAGCAATGTTGTAGGAAATGGTGGTTACAATTTTTCTGCTTTTTTTGAAGCAAACCCCTGACTGGCACTTGAAGTTCACTGTTGTGGCTGAGCAGGTGCTGACACCCATTGGTGGGCAGGGATCCATCAATCCTCAGCACCGATTTGTTCACATCACATTCCTCCACCTCTGCCCCTCCACTTCCCGTGTCCCTTCCCTTTTTTCTTTATTTCTCCTTTCCTCCTGGTCCTTCAGTTCTGCTCCTCCAGCTGTAGCCTTTCTCTTCCCCACCTCCTTCCCCACAGTGGTGTGGTGCATTCATCCACAGCAACCCACACTCCCTGCACTGAATCTGAACACAAATCTCAGCCCAAGCAGATTGAAAATCTTTCCACAGGATGGATTCTCCACAGCAAACTGTGAAATCTTGGTGCGAGTTACAGCCAGATTTTGCAGAAAAGTAGTTATTAAGAAGCAAAAAAGCAGCTGTGAATGTGCATTTTAGGATATGCATTTCAAGAAAAGAAGCCACTCATTCCAGGGATTTCTTCACCCTCACCCCTCTCATTTTAGATTACTCACCTTATAGTTCTAAAACACAGACCAGAAAGTTCAAGGAATTAGCCAGAACTGAAACAAAATTTTATTTAAAAAGCGCCACGTACAGAAAGCCATACTCTGACAGAATGAGAATGCAGGCATATAAATAAAATAGAAGAAAGAAATTTATTATCTTTCAAGAAGTTGTTGAATGCCTGTAAAACTTAAAAGGTTTTTTTTTCAGTGCAAGGCCAAACTGTGAGTTCTACTATGCAGTCCTTAGTGCAGAAAAATTTGGAAATGAAAAAACTGACTTTAGAATATCAAATTATGCTAATGGCTGAGCAAATATATAAAATGAGTTTCCAGCTAAGTATTTTTATCAGAAATAATGGTACAGTTTTGCAGAAGTTTCACACACTTTTAAAATTGAAATGTTATTTCAGTTGTAATAATCTCCTGTAAAAGTATGGCAAACCTCAATGACTTGAATTAGTAAGGTAGTCTCAAACAATTTCTGTTTAGAAAAATATTCTATTTAGAATAGTTAATTTTTAAAAGTTATATATCTATATTTCTGTTTTCTTCCCCCAGCACAAACCTTACAGAAATGTTCTCATTTGTTAAAATAAGCTCTGGTTCTCTATATAGCAGATGCTACTTCATAGGCAATTTGATAGAACAGAAATGGCATGCAAAATCAAGTATGCTGGGCTGGGTGACATTACAGTTCATAAAGGCCAAGAGGGTCTTGAAATCACTTGTAAACTTAGAATCAAAATTCCAGAAAAAAACCTTGGGCACCAAAATACCACCATCAGCTACTTCTGGGCTGTGCCTTTGCGTTTTTCTGTTCACATAGAAGGAGCCTGGTGGAACAGGGAGGTGCCCAGGACAACTGGCAGCAGGCACACACATAGTCTGACACACACACACAGAGCCTGGCACACACACACACACACACACACAGCCTGACACACACACACACAGCCTGACACACACACACACAGCCTGACACACACACACACAGCCTGGCACACACACACACAGCCTGGCACACACACACACACACACACACACACAGCCTGGCAAACACACACACACAGCCTGGCACACACACATAAACAGAGCCTGGCACACAGGGCTGACCTTTCGGTTCCTGCAGCAATGACCAGCAACAGTACCAAGAACCTGCAGTGAGTACCAGGAAACAGAGACTGGAGAACACCAAGCGAAACCCTTGAGAACACAAAGGGCCTTGTACTATGAGCAAATAAGTTCAAAGGGTAAAGGGACTTGGAACTTAGAACACTTGTCAAAGTAAAGGACAACACAATATCCAGTGGATGGAGCAGGTTATTTCTGGAACCTGATCAAGTTAATGAGAATATTGTTAAATACTACTTCCTCTTATATTTAGGTATCTCCTCAGCCACCTTTACAAAGGTTTTTCAGTCTTTAATTGGTTCTTTGGAGTGAACACCTGCTACTGTAGCAGCTTACAAGATTTTAAGGCTCTTTGCTTACTGTACCTTTATATAATGGGCTTTTAGAAATGGAGATACTTATTATACTTCTTATACTTAGATGTTTAAGATAAAATTTGATTTTAAGGTACTGCATGCCCAGCTCATTAATGTTGCATTTAGGAGCAGGACTTAGGTCTTGGTAGGTAGGTAAGAGACACTTCGATGTTTTACCTATAGTGACTGAAAAATAATTTTGAGTACCGTGTTAGTTCAACCAGTCAAGTTAAAAAGCTTATCAAAAAATATTTTGAACATTCTTTTATATTTCAAGCATTAAGTAATAAGCTTTCTGTAAAACCAAGTTGTATCACACAACTTCCAAAAATCAACAAAAAGAGCAATGCTGGAACAACCATTCTGCTTAATTTTGGGCTTGGTCCCAAAAGAGGTAGTCTGTAAGTCACACAAAAATAAAAGTTAGCCTAACATGCCAGTGTCCTCCACCATATGCAGCCTCACCACTAAATGAGGCTATTTCATGCCTGCAAACATAAGTTAGAGTTCATGTAAATACAGGAACTACACTTAGAAATTTATTTCTTCATCTGTAACCGCAATTCGGTCCAGCTGACCCAATATATTAAATTGCCTTTGAGCCCCAGCCTTGGTAAGAATTCAGCTTTTCTCCAGATTAAATTTATAACATGCCTAATACACACATCCTTTAAATAAGAAAGGATGCATGTATTTAAGCCTGGAGAGAAGCTGCAGGTCATTAAGCCTTGTTAGTGATACAGGTCTAAGAACTATCATCATTTCTCTACAAATGCTGCTGCTGCCATTGAATTCCTCATGGTTCCTCTTGCTGAAGCTGCAAACTCTTCAATTTCAGCATTCAGTCTTTTAATTACCCATTCCAATGCTTCACGGCCCTACAGTTAAAGAAAAGTTTATTAGTGTCTAAAGCTTAACAAATAAGTAAATCAACTAAATTCTTACTGAAATGACTAAAGACACAGTTAGTTGAAAGAGGAAGGAACAGAAATATGTATCTCTGATGTTATTTCAATAATTGGAGTACTGCTGGAACACGTTCTGCCTTTGATTTCATGAAAACAATTCTTTATATCAGCAGTTCTCACATCATGAACCACAAAGGACTTTTTATCCAGACTGCTTTATCATTCTTGAGGCTGAACTCCAGATATCTTTGAATTGCCAGAAAACGGACTCTCAACTAAAATACTGTTTCATTGTTCCTACATAACTCTTTCTGTATGAATGTAGATCCCTTTTTGACAGCAAAAGTGAACAGATGGCATCAGGAGGGCAGCAAAAGAATGACAGTGCCACACTGTTGAGTGAGGGGAGATGTTTTCTCCCAGGAAGATTCAGAGACCTTTGCCAATAACAATTTATTATCTCCATTCACAAGAGGAAAAAAGAAGAGGAAGTTCAGCATGCTGAGCATTCAGACTCTACAGTAAAGGCAGCAGAACTATGTGGCCCCTTCCTGAGACTGCTGATAAAGCCAAAAAGTAAAACAGAGATCTTTATTCTCTTTTACATTCAGTGACCACACATTTACAAAGGCCATACTTACTTTTTTAGCATTGGAAGAAATTGTGTTTGCCATTAGCCCTTCTAGGTAACTGCTGAGACTGACACCTTTTACAGATATTATTGCTTCTTGTGTCAGAATGGTTCTGAAACAGAGAGCAGGAAACTGAATTACTCTGAGTTGTTTAAAAAAGAAACTCCCTCCTCCTCTACAAGTACATTCCCTCATCAGCTTTGCTCTATAATACAGAACTTCCTGCCCCCTAAACTCAACCCATTTCCACACTGTGTAACTGCTTTATGCTTCTACTTATAAAATAAAGCCTAAGAGTGCCTGGCAAGTCCAAGTCTCCCTTTGTGGCTCCCAGCCATTTCCATCTTTAGCAGTAAAATGTTAAGAGTGGAATCAGCAAATATGGAGTTTCAGTATACAGGGAAAACAATATTAAAACATCCCCTTCAGCAATAGGGATTGAACATTTCTGTCATGACAGAAAAAAAACTCCAGCGTTAGAATCCCTAGAATGACCCTTCAGAATTATCACCACTTCCAGCAGCATGGACTCACTAAGTGGCCTTAAAAACCCCAAGCAATCACCAAAACACAAACCTCCAAAATCAGAGGCTAAAGGCACATAAATGTGCTTTCTAGTGCAGATCTGTGCTCAGGGTGACAAAGGGATCAAGGAGCTGAAATTTGCAGATGTGCACGAACTCAGTTACAGACAGAACACCCTGAACTGGACTCCAGCACAGCATGACCCAAAGTGTTCCAGTGTGTCTCAGAACCAATGTCACTGCAGGAAGTGACAGTCAATGTAAACCTCATCTTCTGATCAAGGCAAACCATGGACATTTTCAAAGCAAAATCCAGTAGCTGTGGGCAATCTCAGAGCAGGGAGGTACTCACTTGTGTGGTTCATGAGGGTGTGGTTTATAGACAAGCCTCTCATCTACTGACACGAGGTTTGTAAATGAAATCTGTAGAACACAGGACAGGATTACTCCTTGATACAAATAACATAGGACTACAGAGAGCAAAAGTTTACGTGATTAGGAAACAATCACAGTGTACATACACCAAGAGGCTTTAAAACATTTTTTCTTAACACAACCCCCCCCAAAAAAACTCCTCCTGTTCATCAGTATGTTCACAGCTTCAGCAGTGACAAGTTCCAAGAGCCAAGCAGCTCCTTCCTGAGAAACAGAACTGATCAACTATTACCACATTACTTAAACCTTTAACTTGCATTGTTCTAACACAATTTTCATGTTATTTTCAAGATGATTTTCCTTTTCATATGTACAAGGTGCTGTTATACTCTGTGATCCATTTCAGTGGCACAAACACAACTACTTACATTACAGGATTTAAGTTCCATTGTTTTTTTCACAGGGTCAACAACAGAATGCTCCTGCACGTACGTCCTTGTCCTGCAGGTGCCGATGAGCTGGGGACAGGCAAACAGAGATGGCATCAATTCCACTAACCCACTGCAATTCTTCATGCCTTTAAATGCACCAGCAGTGGCTACTGCATTGAACAGACACCAAGAGAACACCATTAGGATTTAGCTTAAAACAAAGCTATTCAGCTGAGATAGATCTGATTTTCCAGATAGCAGCAGTCTGAGATCAAGAGCTGGCTACCAGGGTCACTGTGTGCTGCTGCTGCACTTTCCCAATACGTAAATGCTTAAGTCATTAAATGTTTAAACCATTAAAGTTATGAAATAATGCACATCTATTACGACAGCTGGCTCAGGAGCTTCCCCTCCCTGCGGCGTCCCTTTCTGGCCTGTGACACAATACCCACCGATTTCACAATGGCTGGGATTCCCCACTCTGTGCTCAGGAGCCTGTGGCTGTGCAGCTTCCCGCTGGGATCCACGTGTCTGTCCAGGACATCGACCCCCACCACGCTGGGGTTCATGGGGTTGGGGTATTTCCTCATGGCAGCTGTCATCACGGTTTCCCAGGGGTGACTGCCCAAACACAATCACAACATTAAGCTGCACAGTTTTCAATAGGATTATATCCTTCCCTAGAGAAAAAAACCTCTATTTCGTCGACTGAGCAGTGGCACATGAAAATCAAATATTCACTGATTCACTGGGTGTGCTGAGTTCTATTGCAACTGGATAAGAATGTATTCCCTGTGACACCATGCTAAAAGAGTGCTCTTTATCCAGATTTTCGTAATACCGGAGTGATTTATTAAGTTTCTACTTCCCTCTAACGAGTAGTCCCCTCAGATTATTTTTAACACAGGTGTTCCGGAGCACTTGAGCCCCGACACCACGGAGGGCCTGATCGGGGCGGGCGAGGGCAGCACAAGGACGCTGCTCGGTGCCGACAGCGGGGCTGGCCCCGCACAGCTACAGCCGCTGCCGAGCTTCCGCAGCCCCGCCGGCTCCGGGGGAAGGTCAGGGGAGGCGAGAGGCCGCGACCGCCGGAGCGAGGCTCCGGCGACGAGCTCCCGGGGNGGGTGTGACGTCACGCGCGTGAGGCGCGGCAGGCGCGGGGCCAGCGGCCCGGCCCGGCCGGTTTTGTAAGAGATTTCGTAAGGGTTTCATAACCCGCACCGCTGCCAGGGACGCGGCAGCTGGCACCGACTGACTCCCGGCTCATCCGCGGCATGAACCGGCCTGATTTACGGCCGTAATAACGGAGTGGGCACGGCTCCAAACAGACCCACATGCGTTTCTTGGCGCGCCGTCAAGCGCTTCCTTCTAAAATTCCCGACAATATTGGAAAGTGCCGTGAGTTCAGTGAAAACGGGGCTTTGGTCAAACAGCCGGGTAGCGTTTCATGCACACAAAGTGACCTCTGTGCACTCGTAACCGCACAGAAATAGCCTCAGTGGAAAAGCAGGAGAGGGAAACTTCCCAGAAACAGGTTCTGTCACACCGTGCCATCGCTGGCGCCCCTCTGCCGTGCCAGAAATCCCAGTCCTGTGCCAGGCCTCACAGGCAGTGAACATCCCCTGTGCATCCCCAACATCAAATCCAGCAGCTCTGGTACAGAGAAGCTACTATTTAATGCTAAATGCCAGGTTCAGCCAGCAGCAAATACTTAAATGAGAGCTGTTAAGAGAATAATTTTTTGCTGGGCATACCTGTCTTGATTGTATTTTCCCTGACTCTTTGACCTCATGGACTGTTCCTGAGCATGGTTAACACGCTGCTGATCTGCCAGAGTGGACAGAGTCATTGCTGGAAGATTGTGAGGCAGCTCTAAATCCATTGTAGTCTGAATAGCCACCGAGCGATTTTTGCAACTGGTGAGTTTTGCAAAGGATGTTAAAAATGCAAAGCATTTTGAGGGTTCTCAGTGTGACACAGCTGTGGAAGGAGGTGTCCCTTAAATGGCAGGGACAGTGCAGCAGATACCCATTCCTTATCCATCAGGCTGCCTGTAGCCTCTTCAGGGTATTTTTCTGAAAAAGAAATGTTATCTACTGGAAGCAAAGCAAAATGTCATCTCCAAGAAGGAAGCATATGCTAACATATGGTGCAGATTAGGAGCTAGATTTCAGCAGTTCTTGCTCACGTAAACTTCAGGCTATTTTAACAGGAGATTTGTTAAAGTAGATCTCTATATCTGAGTGATATCAAGTGTGGAACTACTTATAAACCTTGTAAGAGAAATAACACAATTATAAATAATACAGCCAGACTTTAGGAAAATAAAATGCACATTTGTAACTGCAGAATAAAAAGTGGCACAACCTAAACTTTAGAATTATTTACATATAATACCATGAAATACAATATCTTTGCCCCTATATGTTGTCAGTGTTTGTCTAATAACTGAAATAAAAGAAAACATTCTGTCAGTTAAGTTTGTCCAGTCCCAAGCAGTTCCAAAATGATCACTGAGGACGATGATGGACACAGAGAAGAGAACATAAAAACCTGTGGAAACCCATGATGAGATTCCTTAGTCTTCCTATGTGTCCTTCAGGGGCTGTTTGCTCACAACTGCCAAATGCAACTGCTGCCTGAAAATGTGTTTTTATTGAAGTAACCAGCATTCTTTACCAGTTTTACATCCTCTGCAAGGCATTAAGAGTTTCACTGCTGATGTTGAGTCCTAACACTGGCGTCCCCACTGCTGCAGCAAACTGGCCTCCCACCCCAAAGTCCTTCCCCTTCCTTCTTCAGAATAGATGTCCCAAACGCCTCACCCCTGAGACCTGTAGCCTTCCTTTGACCCAGGGCAGAGGGAAAGGACCAGAATGCAGCAAACAGCACTTGAGAGCCCTGAGCTCCATAAACCTCACAGCCTCAAGCAGGGGAGCTGCACTGCCAAACTGCCCCTGAGCTCTGCAGCTCTGCCCAGGCTGTGTGAGCTGTGTGGGCTGGCCCTGGGGCCACCTGAGGACAGTTATTTCTGTTCTGGGGCTGCTGCTCGTGGTGCTCTGGAACAGCTCTTCACGTGGCCAGGATGAGCACTGTGAGAAACAAGGCAGCTAAATTTCTGTTTGCACACTGAGCCATAAATGAAATGAAAAAATGTCAGGAAAGCCATGCTAGTGCTGCAGAGCAAGAACAACTGATCAGGGCTGATTTGACCAATGTTGTGCAGCCCCAAAACACCCACTGGAACCAGCTTGGCTTTAGCCAGACCTGCAGCAGTTCTCTCAGTTCAGTGCATTTGTTCTTCACCCTCTGACAAACACTGACTTGCTGGTTGTATAATGCAATTCAGTTCAACTCAGTTACAACACAGAGCAGTGTAAGACAACCAAATGCCTGTTTTTGTTTCTGCACTTTATCAGATGACCAGGAAAGTTTTGTTTTCTGTACTGTAGTATTTACTTCCTCCCTCAGTTTGCAGAAAAAAGAGCTTATAGAAATAGCCAACAAATTCCTTTCCCTTAGTCTTCCATATTCCACCAGAAATAGCCATCAAGTTGCCTAGGAAATACTAATAAAAATTTTTACAGATTATCATTTTCTATCCTCAGGCTAATACCTGTCACTGTGAAGAAGAGATTAAATGCCAGTAACTATATCAGCTTTCAGAGAAGAGCTGCAGGTGTTTATATAATTACTAAGAAATCAGTTTGGATCGATTCCCGCCTTCTGTGTGGGAAAACCACGAGAGGGGGGTGCTGGGTCTCATGTGTTGTCTGTGTATTCCATTTCCTGTGTGTCCCTGTGAGAACAGTCTTTTAGATTTCTATTTGCACAAGTACTCATCTGTGATGAAGTAGCTTTTCTTCCCTTTGCAGGTATTGGTTACCACAGCTACAATTACACTGCACAGCTCTCTGGGATGTGATTTCAATAAAGCCAGTCCAGTGTCTCAGGTAACAGAGATGTCCAAACCCAAAAACCTGAGAACAATTCAGAGTGCAAATGTCCTGCTGTACACCTGTGCACTCACTGGTACTTTATGTGAACAGTGAGGAAAGCCAAGGACATCATTCACAGGAAGAGGAAGCTCTCACCAGGAGGTGAGGGATATCTTAAAAAAATTTAAAGCTGTCTTTGGCTGGAAAAAGAATCACCACTTCATCTTGACCATGGATTTGCTTTTTCTTGGAGAAGCCCTGAAAGGCAGAGTTGCAGTCAGAAGTGGAACAGGTGATATAGAGGGTGGTAAATCTCCCATCAGATCCTACCTTGGATCTCCCATGGTACCCAGAGAGGGAATGGCACACCCCAGAGAGCCCCTCTGCAAACTTAAAGGATATTTGGATGGAGTGTCACAGGATCAATAAGCAAAATCATTTAATATTCCACTCACATTTGAAGTCATTCTTAATGACTGAAAAACAACAAATTAGTGATAAGATCTTTAGAAACCTGTGGCCACCTGATGTGGAAGGACAGCTTGGGATTTGAACTGCTGATTGGTGATACTGCTACACTGCTGCTACAGCTGCACAGTTTTAGCTGACTGGGGCCAAGAGCATCAAGGGGAGACTGAGATTTTGTTACCTGCTATTTAATATCTCTCCCTTCCCCAAATACCCCTGCACACCTTGAAGAACCCTGCCCAAATCCCACCAATATCCTGCCCCCTCCCCCCTATAAATTCAAACCCAGACATTATCTTTGCTTCACAATGCAAAGTTTAAGTTAGGGAATATTAAAAATGTGCATCTTTAATAGAATTATCTGGGACAAACATTTGATTTTCAGATCCTTTTTATTTTATTCTTCTGCCATAAAATGTGCCAAGAGGCTTAGAGCTGCACACCTTCAGAGTGCTGTTGCCTCATATACCTTCCTTACCCAGCATGTGATACATCTCCTGCAGTTGGGAAACACTCTGTCTAACACTGCCTACACTAACCAGGCTCTGGCACTGTTTATATAATTTGAATGCAAATAATTATTTTTTCTTATCAGCTTCCTCCCCCACCTGACAACATCCAAAATGTAAACGCCCTGCGCACAGGATCCCACCCAGCTGGCCTGAGCTACTTCTGACACTCACTCTTCCACCTGCCCTCTGGGCTCCTTTGTTTTAACACACTCAAATTACCACAGAGAAATGATTTACCACCTTACACAGCTGTGCTTGGCTTGATGTTTGGCAGCAGAGGTCTTAAACAGGTAACAGCCCTTAAATGGCTTTTGGCAAGGAGTGGTCTGGTTTCAATTTAAAAACTGACTCAGAATTTGTAATAAGGTAGGTGCTGTTTGACTCATTTTAACTTTTTAATTTCAGTTGTGCAGTTTCCTTGACTTGCAGAGTTCAGGCAGTTGGATTATGGCTCTACAAACATCTTGTCTGTGTCAGGAGTGGGAGCAGCAGCTGCCACCAGGTGTTAGACTGAGTGCAGGTTCACGGTGGTGCACGGCTCGTGGATGAAGGGGACTGTGCTGTTGTCTGGGAAACAGTCTCTGAATCTCTGAGAATGTGACAGATCCCAGCCAGATAATGTTTGCTCTTGCAAGCATCACAAATGTGCATGTGATCAAGTAGGCAGATGATAATCACATGTTATCACCCACAACTCATGAGCAAGCACAGTAACAGCACAATTAAAGACAAAACCACAAATTTTAAAGTACTTTGAAAATGCTGATGATTTTGTGTTGTTTGGAGATAATCATGTTTCTTCCCCAGTGATCCTTGTGTATTTCAAAAGATGACAACAGTTCTTATAAAAACATTCTCAAACATATGTTGGTGCAACTTTCAGTGCAAAGCCTGAAGAACCAGTGACGACAGGTCATGGTCAGATTTATGTATTAAACCACAAACATAACTCATGGTCTTCAGACCTTGCTCCCGTGTCCAAAATTTATATCAAACTCTTTGTTTCAGAAATTTTGTGCTCCATCAGCTATCTTTGGGCATGGTTTAAAGAAATCACAACCTGGAAATAAAAGCTGTCACTTTGTCATACACAAAGTACCGCATGGAAGTGGCCACTTTGCCATCAGTGCTGACATCTCACTGTCACCAAGACAATGATTGGATCAATTATCAACCAAACAGTCTTGAGGCACGTGGGCTTTCATGTGCCCACGGCTAACCACAGAGCTCTGCTGAAGGAAAGCCATTAAATCATTATTCTTCAAAGTTTTGTGGGCCAGAGAACAGGTGGATCCTAGATTTAGGAGTATTTCTGCTGTCCTTAGTGCTGGGATTGTATTTGTTATGCAGGGGGAGGATCCAGTCTCTGCAACTGAGAGCACAAGACCTCCTCTGTGACTCCAGTCCTTGGATCTTTAACAGGAGCAGCAGCTTAAGGCTCAGTCCCAGCCTCTCCTCTGTGCCTGACAGTGGGAATTCGCAACCCAAAATGAGAAGAAATGTTGGTGTTTGGACAGGACTGACAATTCACAGGAAAACAGCGAGCATGGGAGTCAAAAACTGCACCTGAAAATGACCCTTGTCCGGCTGGGGATGAGGCGCTCTGATATTTAAAAATTTTTAATATCTTATCTGGCCAGTGGTAGTTTCTTGTTTGTAGCTTCACTGAAAATATTTCTCTTTTCCAAAGAGCCTTCTGAAGGTTTCTCATGAGTTCATTTCATCCAGCTTAAGGGATAAACTATAAAAGAAAAAGAAATAAAAATATTAATCAAATAGGAGAGTTTAAGATGGAAACATAATGCAGGATCTTCCATGCAAATAAAATAACAGAATACTCTTAATACACAGATGGGACAAAAGTATTTTCTTTTATGGTATGCTCTAATAAACATATTAAACTGTAAAGTAAGCAGACTCCATAAAATCCTCACTAATGTAAAAGTCATAGATTCCTTTTAGGAAAAATCAAAGGCCATGAGATGGTGTGATCAAAACTGTCAGTGTCCAGCTTGATAAAATTCCTGAATCTGCATTTCCTGTAACCACTGTCTGACACTCCAGGCCATGGGGGCTTTTTAATGTACTTAACTGTGAAATATTACAGCACTTAAGGAAAGTGAGAGGAATATGTGGGAATACTTATAATCTTGGAAATCCTGCAAAAGAACTCCACTACATTCTGTCCTGATCCAAAGCCAAACACATTTAACAGGCCTGTACAAGCCTGCTACACACAGACCAAGAACATTTGAGTCAAATATATGCAATAACTTGAAGAGGATCTAAGAATTTAGTAAATATTACAAAAACATGTGAGCTGTTAAAAATCCATTTGCAGACCAGTCCTGGGTGTGTTGCACTTGTGAAGGACAGCAAGTAAAATCCTCACAGCCTAGACTCACCCCTCAGACTCTCCTAGGCATTCCACTACCATTGTTAATTGGCACAGCTTCATTAGTGATGATTAATTAGAGAGCCCTTTGGGAGAAAACAGCTTTTTCACCACTGTACTGCCTAGACTTAATGAAATGGAGCTGCCTGCAACTTAATGTTTCAGCAATAATGAAAGGAATAAGCTACGTGTATAAATAAAAAAAGGAAAAGTTAAATTCCATACACTGAGAAATCATCAATTTTATCCCAATATGATTAAGTCAGCTTGGACTGATCCATCTCCTGAGGATGTATATGTGTTCTCTGTTACATGAATAGAGTCCAAAATGTAAACAGACAGCCACAAACTGAAGTTAAAAATATTTTTAAAAGGAATAAGTAGTTTTAGCCTTGACTACTCTTCTCACAAAACCATTTTAAATGCAATTTTTCATATCTAGGACTTGCATAGTGTACATTAAAGCTCTTTCTACCTAGCTACCTCAATTTAGTTCTTCTCTAAAATGAGTCATTTGAGAACCACTTCCAAGTTGCTGCACAAGTAAATAATATCAGTTCTAGTGCACTGGTTCAATAGGATATCCTGCAGGTTCATGGTTAATGATGGCAAAAATGGAGTTAAAGCTTCTTAGTGTCAATGTTTGGTTTTGATGGTCAGAAATAAGAGGAATTTTTATATACCCTTTCTACTGATGAAAAATTCTGAGTATCCAGGAGCTCTCTGAAATACACAAAATATGTAAAGCAGTAATTATTAAAAATAAAAGTCTATAAAATGCAAGACGAAGAGCACAGCCCTTCTTTTTAATCAAGATGTGCATTCTATGTGTCTTCAAAGCCAGAAGCTCCCAAATGTACAGTGGGATGAGTAGCATAGGAACAGGAAAAACAAATACTGTGTGACCAGCTGGACACTCCTGAGCAGACAGACTCACACAGGGATTGGTGCTGCCAGATCCATCCGTGAGGGGAGCAGTAGGCCAGGAGACTTCTAAGGAAAATGATGATATTAATAAAAAGCCTCCACAAAGCTTCATTAATCACAAAACTTGGAGGCAATCCAGTATCAGCAACAACTAAAACTTATTTCATTTATTTCATTACTTATTTCACTACTCCAAAATCAATGTTTGTTCCCTTTATAAATGTGTGTTTGAGTGTCACATATCTTAAACCTTGCTGATTAAAGAATCTGTAAATATTTTAAAGAAAAAAAAATTGATGATGATGATGATGATGATGATGATATTGCTGAGGTATCACTGCATCCCTCTCATGAGGAGAAAAGACCTGGGTTTCAAAACTGACACATTTCTGAGTAGCTTTTGTTTTCCTGCTTCCCTGAAGTTCAGTGGAGGTATTTGAATTATACTCACAAGTTCATTATGTTTGGGTAATTTCTTTAAACATTATAAAATGATAGTGTAATCAGAGATATTCAGATATTCAGTGTTAGGAAATGTTCCCTTTACAAGCCATAATAACCAGTATTTGCTGTAGGAATAAAGAGATAGGAAATAACCTTAGGATGGTTTGGGTTGGAAAGGAACTTCTTGATGCGAATGATTTTAATTAAAGTAAAAAAAAAAAAGATAAAAAGTGGGAAATTACAGTCTAAAGTTGCAGTAACTACATAGAAGAATCTGTAATTAGGCAGGAAGCTCTTTACAGCTGACTATTAACCCAAACAGCACCTTTCAGTTGTTCCTGGTTCTTTGATGGCTTTGTTCAAGAAAATACAAAATACTCATGCTCACAGAACTCTAGTGAAATATGTAAGTAGTAGTATCTCAGATGTTACAAATATGAAAATGTTGAGGAAATTTTCTGGGATCAGCTAAGGACTCAATTCCCAGGAAAAAATTAGTGGGAGTTGAGCTTCCAACTCACATGTTCTCTTTTCCGAAATCTGTCTTGGATGGCTTTTTTGAGACAAAGAATGGTTCACCTGGAATTAAAATGTGAGAATTCCCAGTTCAGTCATGTGAGCCACATTTTCTCCCTGTACCATCTTATTTTTTTGAATTTCATTGCCATGCTGCCACATAGGATGGGTGTGTGAAGGAGTCCTTGCACAGAACTTGACATCAAAATTTACTTTCCTGAAGTAGTTTTATTAATGATTGCTGGGGAGGACAGACCCATCTTTTCCCCAAACCTTTGCTGATGGTAGGGATTAGGAGAGGTTGGTAATTATTGAAAGGGCAAGGTAATTCTAATGTATATCTTTTTTCCATTGCTGTATTTTTAATTTGGAGAAGCCTTGAAGAGTTTATGAAATTGCCATGTACTTCAGGGGCTTAGGTTTTATTAAAATGAATCCTTAAAGGGTAATTTAGCAACGGATCTTTGCAAACACAATCACTGAAACATAGACATGAGTGGAGCTGTTCAGATGACTGTTTCCATAACAGCACACAGCTACAGCAGGTCCTCAGAGACACAGGATACTGTTTCTATGGTGATAGAATGTCTGAGCCTCGAGGAGCACAGAAATCCATTATGAAAAATAGAAACTAATATTTTAAATTAAAGAGACTTCCTTGTTCACACTTATTTGTGTTTAGTCACCTTTTTGCTATGTCTAGATTTTAGACTGGAGACTCTCTTGAGCTTGTTTTTCTAAAACAATAGGTGGTATCTGGACATTCTCTCTGCTCACCTCTTATTAACCTCCTGGTTAATTTGATTCCAGTTCCAGTTCCAGGGTGGCACTGCTGTGTGTCTCTGGCTGGGCTGAGCACAAGGAGTGGTGACACCGCTGCTGGGACATCCATACAGTGAATTCAGCTGCTTTCTGTCCTCAGCTGAGGACAGGAGGGGCAGGAAAGAAAGAGCAGGGGTACAGAATATGCATTTATGGTGCTTTTTGAGCACCTCAAATAGCCAATGGTAACAAGTAAATGAAAAGTGCTAGAAGGTAGCACAGGAACAATTTCAGGGTGGTAGGAGGGTGCATAGAACCACAGACAGTGTAGGAGTGTCGCTTTTTGTCTTAAAACATGAATTATGTCCCTGCTAAGTAATACCAGTTGTTAACAATGCTGGTACTCTCAATTCTTCGTGCTTTTCCCATGTTCCCGCATCCTGAGTTGCCTAGATCCTTGGCTGTAAAAATTCTTCCAGATTATTCTACTGGGGTCAAATCACAAAGGATCTGTAATATGCTAATACCGAGCAGATTCTCAACAGAACCTGTGCACTCCTTTGCAGGAGACCATCAGAAATTGAAACTAATCCAAGTAAAGAGCATTACTATTACTATTTTCAGTGATTTCAGAGCACCATGTATGGAGCCTGCGTCTGGCTGCAGTGAGTGCAGTCTGGATGCTGAAGGCTTTTCTGAGCATGTACCAAGGATTTCAGGACAAGGAGATAACATGTTAATAGCTGAAAAATTGCTGATACAATTTCGGTGTCTGCTTTTGAAAATCAGAACCATTAATGGTGTCAATAAATTTGAAAAAGTCATGGTAATCCAATTACTGCTATTTTAAAACACTAAGGTTCCTTTGTAGCTATGGAAACAAAAATGCAGACATTAATGAGCAAGGGGGGAAAAACCCTGGTGTTTCCTTGACAACAGATAAAAGCAAAGCTCCATGAGACCCAAAGGAGAGAGGGACAGAAATACCTCTCACCATGACAGACAACTGAAATCCAAGTCCAGTGCAATAATAAATTCCACTCTGCCAGGAGTGCTCTTTCAGGTGACCACTCCCTGTCTTTATCCTGCAGTTATCCATGCATGAGGCTCTCAAGGTAAGAACTGCAGCCTTAAAGCAGGTGATGAGGACTGGAACCCTCCTGGGGCACTCCTGGAACAGGTGAGTGTTGTGTGGAGCATGGAAGAGCTCCTCAGACCCCAGGCTGAGAGGCCAAGTGCCAGATCCGAGCCTGCCCTGGTGCTTTGTGGTGTGGATGTGACTCGTGCTCCACATGAGCTCAGGGCACAGGGGACACCACCAGGGCACCCCCAGGGGTTGAAGAGCTCCTGTTCCCTGCAGTGCATCCTAAACTCAGTGTTCACAAATATATTCATATATAACACCTCTTCTCCTAGTGAAAATCTGTCTGTTAGATAAAAGTATGACACAGATACAAGCAATGTGCAACTGCAACTTAATTGCTATAACTTGAAATTTAGCTGGCAGCTCTCACAAAATATTGTTTGTCAGGGGAACTCAACATTACTCAAAGATAACATAAGAGTGGAATTGAGACACAGCTAAATAAGAAGACACCTGTCAGGTTACAGGGCTGTTTTTCAGTGGATAGCATATAGCATAATAGAATATTGATATGTAAAATGATTAATAAAATAATAAACAGAAGAGTTAAATTGGCAAGTTTCTCCCAGGCATTTTGGAAAAGCTGAACTTTCAAAAAAGGTCTTGTTCTAACTCTATCCAGCTTATGGTAAAAGTGTAGATCCCTTCATAATGGGAAGGACAGTGTATCAATTGGTTCAAAATTCTAAGTTTTGGTCAGTCAATAGCAATAAAGAGCTGGATACTAAACTACAGGAGTGTAGGGTTTCCTTGACAGCATGTTGGGAAAAAACAAAACTACACAGAAACTTATGGGGAAAATAAAAATAAATACATGATTGAGTTGTCTTAGTGGTGTGGACTGTGGGTTTAGCAGTGACTGGTGCTGGCCTGGGGTCACAATGATGGGAATGCTGCGTTTCTCTATTTATAGTTACTGATGCTTCCTTTTACTGGTTTAGACACTGATGGTTCAAGTGATCAATGATCCTGTAAATTCTGTTCTCTTTCTCTGTAAAACACATTGAAGTCAGTGTACTTGGTGGGCTTTAGAACATTTCTGACTACTGGCAGTAGTTCTCTGTTTTTCTGTCACAAATAAGAAACAGATGGAAAAATGAATACATCTGTAGTTTGTGCACGTACAAACCACTGAACCTTGTTGCCTTTTCGAGTTAGAGCAACTGTTCCTCTGAAAGCTACATTGCTTCTAAGTGTGTCATAATGGTAATTACTCATGTTTGTGATGTGATATGCCTGAAAAACTACAGCTCATTAATCCTGCAGTCTATAGGATCCAGAAAGACCCATCCTATTCCTCCTGCAAAACATCTCTTTTGTGGCATGATATCCTCCACTTCTTTACCCTTTCAACTATCAGCAAAAGGAAGATTTGGGCAAGGAGGAGGAACTGGAGCTCTTCATTCTCACCCCATCACTTGATACTTCAGGAGCAAAACTGGACTCATCTGGTTTTCCTCTCCAATGTCCAAGATTTTTCTTGGATTTTAGGCTATCCTTGTAAATTAGTCCAAAAAACAACCCTTCACAATACCTGCTTATGGTGAATTAATACTAAAAACCCAAACCAAATAAAGCCCCAGATCAAACTGTGTGATGATTCAGCATTTAGAGCCTTAACTAACACAAATTGAAACTACATTTAGGAAAAGGGTTTATGGGATTTTGACACAAGATGGTTTGACTCTGGACTTTTCCTTTTCTTTTTTTTCCTTTCTCCTTTGAGTGTCTGCCTGTCCAGCCCTGCTGTTGGGCTGTGGAAAGAACCCAAGTACTTTAAAGGAAAAAATCACTTCTTAAGTGAAACACTGAGGTTGTGTCTGCAACCAGCTGAACCTTTTCAGTTTTGTGGCTGCTTTAGCATTTTCTCGTCAGCCCTTGAGACTTTTCCCAATGGGATCCATTACTTTTGCCTTCTGTTTTAATTTTCCTTGAACTGACTTTTTTTTGGCAAGGAGACCCATGTTTGCTTCTAATGAAGCTTTGTCTCTCCCTTTAGCTGTTCAAGCACATTTTTGTCTTTAAGTTTTTTTCTCTTGGTATGGCCTGACCAGTCTGTGAGGGTTACACTCCTCTTTGGGTGGTAGTTCTCGCTGGCTCAACAAACAGAATAAACCACCAGATGAATCCTTGTAGTTATGCATTGTTTATAGGAGGGTGGTAATTTGCTGCCCAGTTTAAAAGAATGTGATTTTTTTGAATATTTTTCTATATATAATTTTTTCCCCAGATTTTTAATTGTTGCTTTAAAAGATTCTGCTAATTCACAAAGCTGTGATCTTTGGGAAAAAAACAGTCATCTGAAGTACCATGCTGGAAATGATCAAATGAAAGATGTGTACCATGATTTCTGTACATTCAATTTTAAGAGTTTGTGTCTATAAAAGAACTATTGCTATTTATGATAAGCAATATCCATATTATGCAATGTTTCTTTATGGGGATTACTCCTCAGAGGGGGATTAGGTGAATTTAGACATTCCAAGTGTTACTTCATCTGCAGCACAGTTGCCAACACCATGGGGAAATGGTGACTTGGAAATACAGCAGCTACAGGGTCATGAAATAATTGTCCATGTCAGAAGGAGACAGAAAGGATCAACACATGCACCTCTGATAGTTACTGCTTCAGGATGTGTATTTTGTTACTACACTTTTCAAAATGAGTCAAGAAAATAGTAATTTTTTTAAAAAAAATATGAATAATAATAATAATAAAAGATTGAGCCAATACCACTCATTAATAATGCTGTGTTTAACTGGGCAAAAAGGGTGTTCATTGAGCAGACAGAACGCAAAGATTAGGAGTTTAGAGAAAGAGTAATAAAAAAAGTTGTGGCTCTTTTCTTTTACTTCTAGCCACACACAAAAAATTTACTATGCCAGGAAAACAACCAGTTCTACTGCATTGATTTAAGCAATGTCATCTTGCAAACTACATCAGGTAGTGCAATGGCACTGAGACTGCATGAATGGAACCCTGCTGGCAGGCAGATTTCTTGTCTCTCCAGACATTCACTTTCCTGTATCAGCTGAGGACACATTTCTCCAGCAAAATTTTCCTGGAGCTGATCTCAGCTGTTAATGTATACATGGAAAAAGAATTTAAGTTTCTCCTGTGGCCAGACCCCACTTAGTGCCAAGTCAGGCTGTACTGCTGTGTAATAATGGCAATATCTGAGAGTTTTACCACACAGACACAGAACTGCAGATTGCTTTTCATTCATTTTTGGGTGATTCACTGTTTAACTCCTTTATCAGGCTTTGTCAAAGTTTGGGATCAGCAGTCTGAAGCCCTCCAGTCCAGTCCTGTTGGTTTTGCTCACACTGAGTTGTGCTGGTTTGACATTCAGCTCTGGCTCCTCAGCCCTGGGAAATGACTGCCAGGGGTGCCCTGCTGTGAACACCACCCAGAGTCTCCCCTCTTTGCCTCCCCTTTCCCTGTGCATGGAGCTTCTCTGCTTTCCACTGTCAGCACAACACCAAAGGCAACAGAAATCCTGCTTGATTTGGAGCTCATCTGGATGTGTGAAAAGATGGACACCCAAAGCCCTGCATCCCAGAGAACACATGCCTTCTGTCCAAACACAACATTTTCAACCTGGCTGTCTCTTCTCAACATACTTGAAGATACACATTTATCATGTGTCAGTCCCTTACTATCATGGAGCAACCAAATCAGAAAGATCCCTTGAAGTTTTCAAGTTCCTTTTTAAAACTGTTTTGTCTGTCTTTCACTTTTTTGTGGTAAAAAAGATGTTTGAGAAGTGTTCTTTCTTTTCTGACAAAACCTTCCACCTGTCCCTCCCAACAGCAGTGTGTTCATAACTGTTTTAGTCACTGTCACTTGTATCAGCACTTTTATATCAGCTGAAATCCCATCTTCCTCTCATTCCCCATGATCCGACAGGGAACAGCCCCTTTGTCTCGCTCCTGTTGGTCTCCAGCAGTTACAATAAACATTCAGGTCTGTTTTCTGCCCAATTTAGATCAGTAAACCTGAGGTGTTCCTGGACTACTGAACAGAAGTGGGCTGCCAGCGTGTCCTGGTTTTTTTTGGCTGTGTTTTGTGGAATTTTCAAGGGTTAGTCCTGGGCTCAGGTGTCCTGCCTGGCCAATTGTGGAGTGGCTGCTCTATTGTGCTGTGGTACTTGGTGCTACCAAGATTTAGGCACCTATTTAGTATGTTCTAAAGTAGAAATATAGGTGTCCTCTGAAGACTTTCACTGGGGAAATCTGGATACCCTTCAGCAATACAAGCTCTTATATATTAATTAAAAAATAGCAGCAAAAATGATAACAAAATATTCACGCTATGTAAAATATAAAACCTTCCTAAATACTCAATTTACCTTTTTTTTTTCTTTAGAGGCTGAGGAAAAAAACTTGACTGGATTACATCTGCTAAGTTAAAACAAAGCAACAAAAAACCCTTAGAAAAAGATAAAAGGAGAAAAGTCATAATCTTTCATTTGTGCCTGGTGGGGTTGTGTGTTTTTGGTTGGGTTTTTTTTTTTTTTTTTTAACTGTTTGCAAATCTTCAGTGTAATGGTTTGAAACCCAGTCGTGTCATTTCTTTACGCCCACACACAGAGCTGCAGTAGTGCAGACACTGTAGCAGGCAAACCATATTCCCAGCATCGGCCATTAAAACTCTTCCTACACCAGCGTGGGCTGCCTGCACCCCCTGCTCTCTCTGCACACACCCCACCACCCACCCTTCACTGTTCAAATGCTTAAAAAAAAAGGAGAAGAGAAAGACACTGAAAAAAGAAAACAGGATGCTTCTTTTGTTTCAACGCTATTCCAGGGACCTGAACCTCTCCACCTGCCTGTGAATTGGCCACCTAAAGGTTAGCAAGTGTTTTGTTATCATTTTCTATGGACAGAGGCAGAATTCAATTTTAGATGGCAAGACAGAAATTTTAAAGTTACAATTTTTTTTTTTTTTTTATTGTGATGGTTCTTTCACTTAGCAACGAGAAAGATTTTTTTTTTCATAAAACACAAAGCATTTCAGTTCTGGCCCCACTTCAGCTTTTCAGAGGGCTTTAATCGGTATTTTTTCATTATTTAGTCCAACCTTCTAAACTTTAAAAGATGGATTAGGGTTATTATTTTTCTGTTAGAGCAACCTGTTGATTGCAGTCTGCTGGCTGGAGGTTGTTAACTCTTTCCTAACACGGGAAATGCACAGGAGTAAATTTGATGAAAGGATAAAAGAATCAGAATCCTTTGAGGTTTTTAAGCACTAAAAATCCTATTTTTTCCTTATTTTCAAGCCACCAAACCTGTTAAAAAACCAACAGATATGTTAGATATGTTTCTTTTTAGAAATAGTGATGTAAATCCAAACTAGAGGAATATAATAAACTAGAAAGCATTTCTTGTGTCTGGAGCTGAGAAAAGTAGCACTGTAAGAAGTGGAAAAGGAAATATTCTTAATACAAATTGCATGAAGAGAACAAAAAGGCTAATACAGTGTTTACTTACACATTAAAATGTATTTTGGGTAACAATATTTTTACTGATTTAAGCCTTTGGAATGTTTTCATTTATGGATATTCAAGAAGAGGAACATAGGAAAATACAGAAAACTGTAAAATAATGATAAAACCAGTTGCTGCTATTCTGGAACAAAGGGAAGGTAAAGCAGATCCTGTTCTTCCTAAAATATTTTAATACTGTATTCTGGTACAGTATTTACAGAAATACTAACCCAACCTAACCAGCTTTGCTGATATTATACAATTGTGGAAGTAAGTGTCAAAAATATTTGTCCTTAGGATATGGTACAAGAATTTCCAAGTTCCCCCAGGAGGTTTTCCAGTGGCTTTGTACTTAAATAACGCATGAAGAAGGGCGAAACTTCAGAACAATGATTGTACAAAGCAGCAAGGTTTTCCAAAAGCAGAATTTGAGATGTTACCATGGAAAGACTCTAAAGGTTTCAGAAGATTATGGAATTAAACACTTTTAGCCTGATTCTGCAGGGGACTGAGGCTCCCAACTTTGCTCAGGAGGTACTGGCAGTGTGCAGGTTGCGGGTGGAACTGGCAGAGTTGTGGGATCAGACACATCCCTTAAGAACAGGGGGAAAGGTGAACTCGGTACTTCTGTTATGAGGCATTTCAAGATATGAAGTCAAACTGAGAAAAGAGCAAAAGTAGAAATAGATTTTAAGTAAAACAAGATTAACAGTCATTTCTGGACTAACCAGAAAATGTGTCGGTTCCATTTTGCTTGTTTGAATTGAGGACTAAAAATCTCCAGACCTGGGGTACACTCACAAACATTTTGCTTCCATCACAGAAGTGTTTAAAGCATCTGCACAAAGTTTATTTCAGACCCTAGGATTCACTAAGACTTTATGATGCTAAGATTGAGGTAGAAGTTTTGTGTGGTCTATCAAGGGAGTTGTGCTGGCTGTCAGTGTTGGATGAGCAACTGGAAATGATAATCCCACTGTCTGTATCTTCCTCTAACAGTAAGGTACTGTGTGCTGCTCTCAGCATCACTGCCCTCACAGGAAAAATTAATAATTAGCAATCTTGGAAGATACTTTCTTTTCATTTAACTTTGCAAAGTTCATTAAAACGTGTAGTTCCAGGATCTTCAGAATCTATTTCCTCGCCAGCACAGGAAGAATGTTCATTGCTGCTTTCACTTGCTCACACCCCTGACAAAACTCTGTAGGTTCTTTGAAGGATGCAGGGTTTGAAACACCTGGGGTGGGACCTTTTCCACTTGGGACCCAGAAATGTGTAGCAATGGTGTGTGGGTTTAACTCCTCAGATCCCGATGGGGACATGGATTGAGAGAGGAGTGTAGCCCCAGAACTCCCTCCTGTGCAGCATCTGACAGTGGGCTCAGCTTTGTGCACAGTTTAAATTGACACTTTGCTGTGTATTGAGACAGCTGACGTTAGCTGAGTTTCTCTGAGCAGGAAAATATTTTGAACTTAAATGAATATAAGTAATCTTGCATAGAGATTGCAGCTGAGAAAGCAAAACACATAAGAAGATTGATTAGAAAGAGGAAACAAAAATCACTTAATTTCAAACAGAACTGGTGCAGTGTAATACTGGTGCTCTGTATTTTGTTACTTCTAGCCATTGCAGCCTGTTTATTCACATAAATGGGAAGAATCACAGGATGCTATGAAGGACCCTGATTCCAGAGTCGCTTAGTCAAGGTTTAGAAATTTTAGGTCAAGCTTCAAAAGGTTCTGCTGTACCATGAAACCTCTCTGATAGTGGCAAATATCCAGACAGCCACTCACTTTTGTTGTAACTTGCTTTAATTAATTATTGCCTCCTTAAGCCTCTCAGGGTAAGCAGTTTGCAGTTTTAGCATTTGGAATTTGATACTGAGCGATCTAAATAATTAATTTTAAATGCTTATACATATTTTCAATTTGTTACTAGGTCCAGCATACTGCTGCAATTTTAGTACTGTTTAAATTAAGCGTTCCTTTTAAGCAAATTTACCTTAACTTAATAATAGTCAGTCTTAAAGTCTTATAAAATATAATGGGCTCCAGAAATGTGATCAAACTGAAGACAAACTAATTTTGACTGGTTATGTAAAATGCCCATAATCATCTGTTTGTATGATTTGATTCATGCCAGTGTTCTATTATAAGATGCGCATCTTTTTTCCCCGTTGGTTTGTTGACTGTAGCATGCAGTAATCCTCCAGAAGATCTCACTTAGAGGTGAGAACACATTCCTTTAGGAAAGTATCTCCCAGCAGAGCTGAAACTACTTGCTGTATGTAATTCTCTCCATCTGGACAGACTGAGTCTGTAGAGCAGAAGTATGAGTCACTGTAAAGTAGTTCAGAATGTCAAGTATTTTCTAGATTCACAGATTTTAAGCGTCTGCAGTGCCATTACCAATTACTGGGAGCATTTCAGGGTATGGAAGAAACCAGGAGGATTTCAAGCAGTAATCCTGGGCCCTGTTAAGAGCTTTTCTGCCCCCTAAATAACTACATGACAGGCAAGAAAGATGGGAAGAACAAGACAGAAATATTTCTTCACCACCAAAATTAGAGGCCTGCTAAATCAGGGCTCCAGAAATGAATGGAAAGCAATCCAAACAACAGGCAAAACTCTCCAGGATCAATAAAGCTGTTTGGAATGAAAATCCACTGAGGCCTCAGGCATTAGTCTATCAGCAGAATTATTAAAAGAAAGAGCTCCCACTGAAGTGGATATTGGACAATTTTAACATTACAGTTTCACAACTACCCAACAAGGGACAGGCTGCAGTGTCTGCACTGGGTAGCTGCTCATCACAGGGAAAAGAAAAGCTGTTATCTTCCAAAACATGGTGTTCCTAAGCAAATTATACAGGCCAGAGATGCCAATTTTGTAACATTATTGGGAATGCATATTCCAGTTTGGGATTCACTCAGTCTACCAGCAGAGGAGGTTGCAGCCATCCCAGTCCCTGTTTTAAACAAATGTTTGCATAAAGAAGAGTAGTCCCTCCCAGGACCCCTCAGCTGGGGTTACCTGAGCACTCTTTAGGAATTTGACCCACAAATAAAATCTAATTTTTTACAATTATCTTTTCAGTGCACTTGGCTGTGCACTACCCTCTTTTCCCTGCAGCTTTCCACAAGTTTGTGGATGTTTGTTGAGTATGACCTAAATGCTTTTAACATTCCTGAGGCATTTTCCCACCTGGTTGCTGCTTTCTCCCATCCCACAGGGCACCATTAGAAGAAGCTGGTGGACAGCACCCACTCTGGATAAGTTTAGCATTTCATATGTGGCAAGTGTATTCTCTCCACTGTTGTTTTCTTTCCCAACATATCTTAAGTGAGCCCTTTACTGTAAAGTTAAAAGAAAATTATCTTTTGGAGTATAAATGAAAACCCCTACCATTGTATTTCAGGACAATACAACTGAAAGCTGAGTACAAACCCCCCACATTTTGAAGATTTTGTTTTGAGCTCCCTAATTAAGTAGTGATAAAGGATACGGAGAGATTGAAATGACACTTCATTTTCTTCTATTTCAACTCTTCCTGTTTTCTAAAGGTTGTTAACGTGACACCAAATGTAAAAAAAAAAAAAAAAAGAAAACCCCAACTTCCTACTTCTAATCTGTTTCAAGTCTTTGTCCTCGTTTCTCTCTGCTTGCATCAAGTATTGACAGAAATGAGACTTTTTTGCTGAAAGGCCTGGATCAATCAAAGGTACGTGAACTAAAATTATATCCAGACTAAAGACTTAATTATTTCCAGACTTCCATTTCTGCTCCCTGGTATTTAAGGCAGGGATCACTAAAAGCTTTTTAAAAAGCTTTTAAAAGGTAAAAAAAGCTTTAAAAAAGGTAAAGACTCCCAGTATAACTGAGTACACTGTGTATGTTCAGAATGTTGAAAACCTGCTTCTGTGGGGTTACAGAAATAAAGGAACTCTGCCATGTCTCCAGGTTGTACCTGCAGACCAGGGTGGGGGATTGAGTAATTGAACTCTGAGTCTGCTTAGAGGCTGAAGCTCTGCTCAGTGCTTTGTAAAAAAATGATATGAAAGTGCAGAAAATAAGTATTTACATGTTCAGTTATTAATTTGGTTAATAATGATGGGCAGTTGACAAAACATTGCATGTGCCATGCAAAAGACAAAAATCTTTTGATTGTGTAGTTCAGAATTTTATAACAGTGCTGACAAAATGAAACAAAATTTTTTAAATGTTTTTGGAATTCAGGGAAAAGTCTACAAAAATGGAACTTACTGTATTTAAAATGAGTTTTTTAATCAACCTTCTGTATTAAAGTATTTTATAGTTATAAATTGACTAAGACAATTTCTGCTACAATGATTTTTTACCTGAAATTGCTCCACTTTTCAGTGTTCCACAGACTTACCTATGGTGTGTACCTGAAGTTAGAATTTCAAACTAGGAAAAAATAATTATATTTAATGGAATTTTAGTGACCAGTTTTGATAGCTTAAGAAATCAATTTAGAAAATTTTGAGCTGGCCAAATCTTGGTTTTGTTTATTGGAAAATTTTCCTTAATTAGGATCAAGTTCTCATGATGGTATTTCAGTGCCACAAGTTACAAACAGCTGAGAACATGGGGTGGATGCTCACTAACAGAGCCCAGGGCATAACCAACAGAGGAAGTTCTACGTTAGGCAAGGACTACCCCGAATCAGCCTTGGGGCAGAATTAGTTTGAGATAAGCTATTTTTGTCAACGTACAAAGAAATACAGTGGCCTTTTTGGGTATATAAATAACAGATGTGAAAAGTCTGATAGTATTTAACCCCAGTAGAATACGAGTCACAGCAGTTTCACTCAGGAAAAAAGTACTTTTTCTTGCTGTGAAAAGGAGCAAACTAACACATCTCTATGTGTTATTACATTCTTAAAAGTACATTAAATATCACCATTAGCTTACTTGTTGAGCTTTATTTAAAACTTTCCTTTAAATTCTCTGTCACCACTTAGGTATTTTCTTTGTAGAGCATTACAGAACACTGAAATGAGTCTCAGACTGTGTTGTGGGCCCCAGAAACTTAACAGCATTAAGTGAAATTACAGAGCCTCTGGTACTTGGGAACCACAGGATTCCTATGAAAAACATCTGTCTGTGGTGGCCTTGATGGGCCCATCAACTCTGCATGGTTGGGAGGAAACCTGAGAGAAAGTTTGTGCCACTGGAGCAGGCTGGTGGGGGAAATGTAAAATAAGTGGAAGTGTTTCCACACTTCTCTCTGGGGGAGGGAGGGGAGCAAAGACATTGTTCTGTCTGATGTGGTACTTGTTACATGTTCGACCTACTGGGTATTTAGGCTTCACTCTTCTTCTTGGAGTCTGTTCTCTGCAGCATATTTTTTCCCCCAAAGTTGTTATTTTAAAAAATATTTTGGAAGAACTGCTGCAAACTTAGTTTGTATCATTTTCTCATGTCTTATCCCTTATTGTATGCTGTGTTTAAATTTAGAAGTGACTGTATAATTTAGGAATCATCTCAAGTGGACTTGAAAGGTTGATAACATCACTTTGCAAATTAGAGAATTCCACTTCTACTCTATAGGGGTAACCACACTGCACAATATGGATAATAACTTAATTTCTTTAACAAGCCATATTCTTTTAACATTCTTTCATCATTATAGTCACTACCTAGAATAAAAAGCCACTTAAGTAATTTTTCCACGTAGAAATGTCAGAAGTGCATAAGAAAAGTCCATGCTTGATAACTGAGCTTAATTTATAACATTCATGAAGAAGAAAAAAAGGCAAAATCTAACATTTTGCTGTGCACAGATCAGTTCATTTTACATATTGTTTTCTTGGATTGAACCTGTAAAAATTTCAAGCCACATTTTGAAGCAATTCTTTGACTATTTCCCAGTAATGATAACCTATTAAAATGATCCAAGGAAGTTGCACAAACACCACTAGAGATTATGCAGTAAAGCAACAAATTGCAGATTTCAAATTGAGCACTGATTATGTTATTCCAAATGGATTTCTAATGTCTGTTTGCACAAGAACAACCCATTATTCATAGCAGCCAGTGCATCCAGTGAGCATAGCTGAGCAGGAATCAAATAAACATTCACAGATCACCTGAATTTCACCCAAACTGTAATTACAAGGTATGCTCATGCCCCTAACTTTTCCAAAGAAAATTTTCAACTTGCTTATTTTGATAGTTTCCTCCTTTGTTTCTAAGAAAGAAAAAAAGACAATAAAAATTTTTGCTGAAATAAGAAGTAGTCTGGACCAACCCTGCATATATTAGGATAGGTTTCAAAAGAATAGGTTCACTTTTTTCAAAAATTGTGTCTAGAAGATGTTTTCATCTGGCACTGAAAGCATATAAAAACAAGCAGTACATCATAATATCTCCATTAATTATATCAATTTAATTTGGTCTACACAAAAGCCAGCTTTAGTTTCTCACACTATTTTCCTATGATACCATCTTCTCTACTTTGCACAAATTTACGCAAATCTGACTTGTAAAACAGGACATGAATTTAATTTTGTTCACATATTTTCATTTTACACCACTTGTTGCAATGTGTTTAGTTCCCTATAATTGGGTAAGCACAGATAATATGCAGGCATGTTTAATGTCCTGTGTTTGGAACCGGTTGCCCAAAGAAACTGTGCAGTTTTTATCCCCAGAGGTTTTTTCAAAACCAGACTGGTAACACCTTGACAGCCTCATCTGACCTTGGTGTTGATTCTGCTGTGAGTAGGTGTTTTGGACTAGAGATGTCCTGAGGTTCCCTTTAACCTCAGCTGTTCTGTGTTTCTGTATTAAAAATTATTAATACTAATGACATTTAAGAACACAACATAAATATGTAATGGAAATATAGTGCCAGAAAATTAAAGTTGTATTACTTCAGGTGTGCTTAGAGCCTCCATTTGCAAATCTGAAACTCTTTGGGTACTCGGTGTAGGTTGTAAGAGTGGTTTGAAGTGCAGTGTTCTTTACACTATACTGAACTGTAGCTCCTAGAGGAGAAATGCAAGATGAATCAATTTAATTGGGAAAGGAGGTAATGACTGTATAATACCAGCACGTAAGATTTGTGATTTGCAGTGTGTGTTATTTGCTGCCTGCAGACCGCTCTCGTTGTGTCCCCTCCTGGCAGGTCCATGAGCACCCGGCAGCCGCCCCTGGCATGGAGGCCCAGCGCCCGGCAGATCCCGGCCCGGGCCCTGCCCCGCGGGGCTCCTCAGAGCCTGCCCGGGCCCCAGCCATGCCCCAGCCGCTGTACCTCAAAGCTCTGACGATCCCGCTGTTCCAGCCCGTCCAGCCAGGCTGTTTCCAGCCGCACGGGCCCTTGGTGACCGGCAGGAGCTGTGTCCACCTCGACGGCAGCAACATTCCCCTCATCCTCAACCCGCTGGTTCCTCCAGAGGGCACGGAGCAGCCTCAGCCGCTTTTCCAGAAACAGCTTGGGCAAAGTCTAACGCTGAGCATAGTCAGCACTCTACCGGTTTTATCATCGCCGAGTTCTTGTGTAAATGCATCTATTGGAAACCTGGGAAAATCAAAAAAATCTGGGAAATACATCTGCAAACACTGTGGACGAGATTGTTTGAAGCCAAGTGTCCTTGAGAAACACATTCGCTCTCACACGGGCGAGAGGCCCTTTCCGTGCACCACTTGTGGCATTGCATTTAAAACTCAGAGCAACTTGTATAAACACAGGAGAACTCAAACACACGTCAACAACACCAGGCTGCCCTCAGACTCTGACATCAGTGGGGGACCAGAACAAAATGAGAGATCAGCAGAGAACACCACCTCTCACCAAGGCAGCAAAGTCTTGAGTAGCACCAGTGAAGACCAGGTGATACACATCAGACAACCCAGTTCAGAGACCAGTGCAGCAACAGACACCAAGAAACCTCATGAGCTCTCCCTGCCAGCAACAAGCTCTTCATCAGCTGCTTCAGAAAATCAAGAAACAACAAATCAATCCTCCCATTCAAAGGCTAATCAGGGGGATCCTGAAAGAGAACCTCAAAGTTTATCATCTCCAGGAGCTTTGCCGAATGGTCTGTGTCTGAGAAAGAAGATGCAGGAGCAAAGATCTCCGACTGCCAATAAGCACATTCAGCTGCAAAGGCAGCAGGCAACCTCTTCAGAGAAGCAGTGGGATTACAAACCCTTGGACTGCAAGCTGAAGAAATGTGAGAGCACCGACTCGGGGTATCTGTCGCGCTCCGACAGCACAGAACAGCAGATGACATCTTCCAGCCCCTTGCACAGTCTCTACGAGCACAGCACGGAACTGGAAAATGAAACTGCCTTCAGCAGCCCAAGGTGTGCCTCCGGAAGCACTGCAAAGCCAGAGGCAGCTGACAAAGCTACAGCCTTGATGCTAGAGAAAAAGAGGCTGGAAGAACACATTTCAAAGCTTATTTCGCACAACAAAAGTGTGGTGGATGACACCCAGTTAGACAATGTCAGGCCCAGAAAAACTGTCCTTTCTAAACAGGGAAGCATTGACCTGCCAATGCCTTACACGTACAAAGACTCTTTCCATTTTGATATCAGAACTTGTGATGTAAATAGGAAAAAGAATCTTTCTCTTTGTTCAGCAAAATCTACCTTTGCACCCCTGGAGAAATGCAAGCCAATGTTTTTCCATTCAGTTCCCACCCAGTTCTCCACAACAATCGACACTGTGCCTGTTACTCGGAGCAACTCCTTGCCTGTCGTGGAGGGAGCGAGGATGGTACGTGACAAGCCAGGTTGCTCAAAACCCCTTTCTCTTACTAAGCAGTCTGTAAACACAGGCACTGCTGGTTTGCTGCCTAGCAACGATCTCGCTGCAAGTTCAGTGGATTTCCCTAATAGCCATCCCCGAGCTCTAGTCAGACAAACAGCAGTGGATGATTTGCCCCTAAGTAATGTGGCTGATCATCCTTCTCTGTCAGAGGAGCTGAAAGGGACTAAAAAGCTTGGGGCCGGAGAAGTAATCAGTGCTAAAAATAAGAAACACAATCAAAGGAAGTTGAAGATGTTCTCTCAAGAAAAATGGCAAATGTATGGAGATGAAACATTTAAGAAAATCTACCAAAAAATGAAAAGCAGTCAAAATGCCAAGAAAATTAAACAAAGAGAGAATAAGATTACAGATACTACAAGGTTAACTCCTAATTCAAGGGAATCAGCTGGCAGCACTGAAATAACTAAGGAAAGAGATGGTAGCTCTGCAAGTGACAGTCCTTCCTCCCTTGTGACAGCAGCTTCAACCATGGGTAAATCAGGAACCTCTGCTGCTGGTAATCGTGTTCTGGAGAATGCATCCTCGGAGGAAACTGCAGACAGGGTGTCCAACCTAATGGAGACATCACACTCCATAACTGCCGGAGCTGTAACCAGCCAAACTTCCCAAGAGCTCAGTGGCAGTGACACGGAGAAATGCACAGCTGGCAGCAGCACACTGCTGGCTCCAAGCAGTGGTGAGCTCAGGCTACAAAATCCTGAGAGTCAGCTGAGAAGCCATGGGAGGAATGATGACTGCTTGCCAGTACAGAGTAGCAACCGGGAGAAACCAAGCCCTGGGAAAGAATCCAGTGCATTTGAATTAGATTGTAAAAGCACTTTACACAATTATGGGAACCATCACGGGACTAAGGAAAGTGGCCAGCATGGCCTGACGCCCCCGTGGGTCCACTGCAACAACAGAGAAACTGCAGGGAAATCCCAGACTTTGCCATCAGAAAGGAAGAAGCTGAAATTCGAAGTGGAGAAGACACAAAATGTGATTTCAGTGTCCTGTCCTAGTCCCAGTAGTGAAACCACTGAAGTAAGTGAAGCAGAGAGAGGCCATTGCCCTGGCACCCAGTGTCTCCCCACAGCTCCAGTGAAATTCTCCAGTAAAGCAGAGGAGCAAAAATCAAGCACAGGAATTAATGGAGCCACTGAGGATGTGGAATATAGGAAAACAATCCAACTTCCCACACAAGCTCTTAATTACAGTGACATTAACCTTCTTTCACACCCTGCAGATATCTCAAAAGCTTCACTGGTGGGATTTTTAGGGTCTGAATTAAGGGGAAGTGATTCTAACTCTTTTGCTTTGCACAATGTAACACATAGAGAAGATAAAACACATCTTGTAAGAACAGGAGCAAAAGTGCCACTTCTCAATGACAATGCTGTGGATGTATCTTCTAAAAGCCATGATCCACAATCTGATCATTTAAGTCCAGTCCCACAACAAAATGCCTTCTCTCCAAAATATATCCTTAAATTGCCACAGGACAAGAGAGCTTCAGATCTGTCACCTTTGCTTCGATCTGAACAGGAGATGACACCTGGCATACCTGTGACAGACACCTTAACCCCACCCTGCTCTTCCAGCAGCACATTCCTCCATTCTCATTCCAGTGATGTGGTTTGGTCTCCTTTAAAATCTGAAGTGAGACAAAAGGCTGGCAAAGGAGAAATTCAATGGAATCTTCACACAAACTGGAAACCTCCAGGATTCTGTTCACCAGTCAACTCAGAAACCACAAATATCTTAACCATAGCAGAGAATACCTTTCGTAACCAAAACTTCAAGCACCAGGATATTGCAAGAAAGGACTGGAAAAACAAACAGAACAAAAATAAATTAAATTATCAACGACAAACAGAAGAGAAGTGGATGAGTAAAAGTACTTGCTCTACACAGACTCCGAAGAAGAAAATCTGCTTTACTTCTGTGTATACAAGTGGCTTTTTCATATCTGCTGACATCAAAGATGAGAGGAAGGCTTTACATCACCTTTGCTCAGGAAGTGACTCTTTGATAAAGACATCAGTTTCCAGCAAGACTGCAGAGCCAGCAATCCTGGGATGGGACAGAGCGGGAAGTCCACGCGTCCTTAAGGACACCCCACCACCACTGCAGGATCTGCAGCATTCCCAGAGCTCAAGAGACAACCCCACTTATTTTTGCCATTCTTTTGGCACTTTCTACTGCCACACTCTCAACACTCACTGCAAAGGATTCCCAGTGCTGGCCCACAATAACAGGACCAGCTACTCTGGCACTTCTCCAGTACCAGGCTCCAAGAGCACCTTCCCATCCCTCAGTGCCGAGCCCCGGCTGACCTGGTGCTGTCTGAGCAGGAGCCTCCCCCTGCCCTCAGAGCAGAGTGGGAATGCAGCCTCTGCCCACCCCTCCATGCACACCTGGGACAAGGAACCCAGCAGGGAATGCACCCTGTCGAAATACGACATCTCCATTTTCAAAATGAGAAATATTAGCAAGACTGTGGCATATGGCTTAACAAACACAAGCTTAAAAACGTTGGTTTCATCCTTTTCTAAAGGACATCAGATGCAGGAGGTAATATTAATAATCCTGTTTGCTGTCTCAAGAGGGTGTTACTGGCTGACAGCCCACCTCCACCCTCTTATTAGAAAAATGAAATAATTATCAGAAGTGTATTTATGGACATTTTCAGGCATTTGCTGATACAGAATTTACAATTTATATTTTTTTTTAAGATAAGTCTTATGTTCATATGATGTATCAGAAAGATATACTTCTGTGTGAATATTTAAGTTTCTATCACTTGACCATTTTAGAATACTTACAGTGAGAATAGTTCTATTTCTTGATTTTTTTCCCCTTCATGGGGTTTTTTAATATTTTTTCTCCAATAGCATCTGTATTTCATTGTTTTCAGTCTAAATGAATATTTGACTTAGAGTAGGACTTAAATAAAGAGTTGTGCTACTTAACTCCTATGCTGTTCACTGCTATTTTAAAAGTGCACAGATTTCCAACTTGTCAGTCAATGTAATTCACAGTTTTCATGTACTTAATTTTTTTCCAATATTCTCAACAGTTAAGCTCAGAAGTTCCTGGTGGTTCTTTCAAAAATATTTCAGAGCAAAAGAAGAAAACAATAGTTTGCAAAAAGGAAAAACTCTCAACAACTAAACTCAAGAGGAGCCACAAACAGAAAAGGATTAAAGTCACCCCTAAATGGTAAGGAGTATGGCTTTCAGGTTCACTAGATACAGATATAATTTTGTTGTAATGAGTGTAAAAACTCCACAGAAAATAAAAAAGTCATGTCCAAAATGCAACCATGTCAAAACTGGGGGAGAAAAAAGAGAAATCTCTCAGAAAGAGCTATTGTTATACCACAGCAGGGACCCAAAGGTAAACTGTAAAAATATCAATGTGTTGTATACTATTAGGAACAGACTTTTCTAAGCAAAATGGACATATTCCACAGAATGATGATGCCTGGTCAGGTGACTCTTTCTATGATTTAGAAATTACTCTTATCTGTCAGAATCATCAGCATTTACTTTTTCTGAAGGGAACCAAAATGCTTCTGTCTTTAATCCTGTCACAGGTCAGAGCAGTGTGCGAGGCCCTTTGTCCTCGGAAGATCCATATCCTGAACTGGTATTCACTAGAGAAGTCAGAAGAATAAATATCAAGTTTAACACAAACTAACAGAACCATCTGTAGTTCAAAGGATCATTTGGTTTAAATAAAAAGCAGGAAGAATTTGAGCATTAAACTATCAAGGGCACATTGTCTCAATCAGCACAGCTCCCCCCTTTCAATGGGAATTCATATCAATGGAACATTTCCCCTCTAATCTTTCAGGAGTGTGGGGCAGCAGGATGTCTGATGAATTGCTTCAGTAAGGAACACATATTGTGTGCATACATCCCTCTTTATTTCATGAGCAAAATCAGACGAGAGTGACTCCCTAAAGGACAAATCAGTGGCAGTAATTTAATCACCATGTCTAGTTCAGCAAACAGCACTGCAGTTTTGCAGGGTCATAAGAACAGAAATAGAAGACTCAGGTCTATGTCACCCAGCCGAGTGACATTCTTCTAGGACTTTTTTCTGGTTTGATTTTCAGGTGGTGTTCTGTTGTTGGGGTTTTTTTCCCCCTGCTGGTCTCAGAATTTGTTTATATCAAATTTATTTGTATCCAATGAGTGCAGGGATTTAATTAATCACGGTGCCCTGAAAGCTCAGGTCATGCCTATTAGTAGGTAACTGGCCCAAGTGGTAACCACCAAATGTAATTTAATTTTCTAGTACACCAAACACCTGAATAATTTGCATCCTTTTAGACTTACATCATGCTCTGTGGAAAGTGACAGTCTGTTGATTTAGGGATGGGACTTTAGTGTCATTCATTCAGAGTTACTAAAAGATGGAGCCAGCGTAAAGAACGAAGCAGAGTTGGATTATTCAATGTGGGTCTGCTAAATAACCAAAATCCTTATGTTGTCCCTTAGTGATGATGAACAGGTAGCACTCAAGAAGTGAAAAGGAGAAAACCCAACAGCCACAGAGCCTCAGGTGATTCCTGTGTGGTTCAAATCTTTGTGAAATATATTGTTTTAAAATTCCAGATATAAGAAAAAGGATCTGTTATTCCTTAATAATTTTCTCTTAGAAAATCAATTTACTGAATCCTACAGAGAAAAAAAAAAAAGATAATAAAGTAATTGTGTGTCTCTTGCCTAAAATCCAGATTTTTTTTTGAGTGGACATAAACAAGCATCTCCTTCCCAGTAATAAATTGCTGTTAGACTTTAATGCCCCTGATGAGGTGGTGTTATTCTCCTCTGTCTGCTCTTACATCTCCCATATTTGTTTATCCCCTCAATGCCCCTGGCACTGCAGGTACAGAGGGAGGCACATCCATGGATTTGCTCAGCTGAAAATGAACCGGCTGAGCAAGAGGCCCTGTTTTCCCAACAGAGCTCTGGATGCTTTGAGAAAGGGCTGCTCATCCCAACCCCCCAGATTTAACAAGCATAAGAAGTGCCATCCTCCTCAATCCAAGATGCAAGGTAAGTATTTGGAATATTTGTGTGAAAATTAATGTTATTTCAGTGATATGATGAGAAATGTAGCAAGTTCGAGCATGTGAGGTGATAAAAATCAAAGTAAAAGTTTATCCAACCTCTTTTCAATAGAAAATTATCTACAACAGCAAAAAGACACATCATATTCCACCTCAGACAAACAACTTTGCAGAAGGAAAAAAGAAGCAAAAAATAACTCAGGAATATCTTCCCATACTGAAAATCTAAACCATGTTAAACAAAAAGACAAAATGGATAAAAAAGTAGGTATTGTACCTTAATTCTTGTATTACTTTTTATGAACAGAAAAAAGAATTGCTATTTAAAACCTGAATTATTTCAGCTGTTTTAAAGTTGAAGTTGAAACTATTTTGTGTCACAGATTTTGGTTAAAATATTTTACAATGTGTTAAAGGTATTTTTGAGGGTTAAAATATAATGAAAACTTACTAATGTTAGAATTTGCTAAAACAACAATTAAACTTGCATCAATTGGATAAAATTGCTCCAGACTGAAAACTTTATGTGTAAAATTTTTCTCCTCCTAATTCCTACAGGACATTTCTGGGCAAATCAGGGAACACCCAAGAACAAACGCCTCTCTCCAGAACATTACAGCTCCTCTGGGAATAGCTGTGACAGCTCATTCCTTTTCCTCCACAGCTGACACATCCCTGCAGGAATTCAGCAGGGATGTGGCCATTTGCTGCTGGGTGACGCAGCCCCTCGTGCTCCAGCCATCCCTGCCTGGGGAATCCCAGCCAAGCCTTCGCAGCGACCCTGTGGCAGCTTCCTTTGGGTCTTGCCCTGAATTTACAAACACAGGCTCAGGTGACCAACCTGACAGCACAAACCCAGAGGCTGCTGCTCCTCTTTCCTTACATCCAGGAGCAAGCCAGGAAAACACACTGAGGGTAGAGTCAGAGAGCCAAATATTTGGAATATCAGACCTGGTGATCCAGGCATCTGGAAGGGGGAAACCTCCAAGTGAAGAAAACACACATTCACCTCCCACAGAAAATTCAGCTCCCAGCTCCCAGCCAGGATGTTCACATTTGTTTGGATCACAAGCAGAGTCTGTTCCTGAGACAGTCACGAGGGCTCAGTTACCCAGCAGGGAACACTCACAGAGGGCAGACTTATCTCAGCACCTCCTAGAGCTGCATGGAAGCGCAGATAGGAACAGATCCCACCTGCAGCCCAATCCCTATGGAAGGCCACATGGAGCAGCTATTTCTACCTTTAAAAGTTCCCCCGTTACTGTCAGATCCCCTGAGTTCAAGAGCTGTTCTGCAACACCCCCCAAGACATACAAAAAGAGAGGTTTAGAGATGATGAGGAAACAAACACGGGTGGAATATGATGACTCGAGCAGTGATGATGAGGACAGGCTGGTTATAGAAATTTAGCAGCAGGCTGCTGCCAGGGCTTGTCTGCCAGCCTGTTACAGCAGGAAATGCCAGGGATCTTTGATCCACGGCTCTGAAACACCTTAACATCAGCAAAGCCATTCCTCTGTGCCAGAGGCAACACCCTCTTTGGAAGAGCCCTTCCTTTCAAGGACTCAACCTTTTTTTGAAGATGCTCATTTGAGGCTGGCATGGCACATTTAAATGCAAGAGGCAACCCTGTGTTCCTGACAGGTTTCCAGCATTGTTGATGCTCCTGCCAGTCTCAGAATTCCCTCAAGTGCTGGCTGCCTGTTGGTGTGTTACTCTAAGCCTGCAGTGGATTGGGTTATTTCAACAATCCAACTGCAGCAGCTTCCTCAGTTCCTCAGCTGCTGGAAGGGTACAGATGTGCTCTCCTCTCTAAATTCCTGTTTCTTCTAGTCACTGCCTCTGTACTGGGAGTGACACACTGGCATTAAGGGGAAGATCTGTTCCCTAAGGATCTGTGATATTGGAAGAGTCTGGAAAAATGCTGGTCTTTTTCCATGTTGCACAAATGTCAGTGCTTCTGTGTGAGAAATTACACAAGCATGCCTTGCTTTGTGTTTTGTGCCTTTTATGCCAAGATCTACTCAAATATTCTTGATTTCTAGGTGGAGAATATGGGTGTTAACTATTGGTATTTCCTTGTGGTAAAATTTCTGACAAGGATTCTCTCATTATATTTGTCACATTGTGCTCCAACTGATGTCATCTGGAATGTTTAATTTTTATTGTAATTTTAACTGCAATGATGTCATTTTAAGGAGGGTAAAGAAGCTATATGGCATAGATTGTTTTCTTTTTTAAACAAGTTTTGTGCTACAAACCCTAAAATTTACTGGTTTCTATGTGAATAAATAATTAGATATTTCAATTTGACCGAGTGTGTTCACTTGCTTGATTAAACTGATGAGCACTAAAACCATTCCACTTCTACATTATAGTAAAATTCTCTACTTAAACTTCTACTATTCTTGTATTCTGACTCACACATAGGGATTAATTAAATGGGATATTTGGAGTTGCTTTTTAGTCATGCTTGGGTAAAGGATTAAACAGATCATAGAAAGAAATCTAGTACAAATTAACTGAAGAAAATAAATGTGTATATGTAAAAAAATGCCCAAACAACTCAGAGAGATAAACCACGTGCCAAGTCCTGTGCAATTATTGTATATTTGAATGTCCTACAAATGTGACAAGGCTTGAGGTCATCAAAACAGAGCTTCACATTTATCCTTTATCTTTCTCTGTTCAGTATTTGTGCTCCCAGACAATCTGGTGGGTGGGTATTGGGGTGAATCCCAGGTGTAATGAATTTATATAATGCGAATTGAGAGAAGTACACAAATTGAATTTGGGAAGAAAAGAGGAATATTGAACCATTCAATTCAAAGTTCTGGAGCTTTTTTTTCTGATGGAATCACTGAAAGCTACGGCTGGATTCTGAATTTGTAGGAAAAGCAGGAGAAGAAGAAACTCAAAGCTTATAGAGATCCCCAGATCAGTGTTCTCAGCAATGCTGTTGACCAAGCACCTTTAGAAAGCACAGTACAAAAATTATTGCACCAAACCCCACCAGCACCTCCACAGCAGCAATTTTCACCTCCTGCTTGTGCAAGAGCTAGTTATTATAATACATTATAATACATGTAAAGAATAGTCTATATAAAGTTTTTCTGCATAATGTTTGTGGCTAAATGATGTATTTTAAAGTAGAATTTCTAGATCAGTAATTTAGAAATATTCTAATGACAGGCTCAGAAGTGCTGTGCAAAGAAACTTTTATCCTGCATAGATTTTACAGCATGAAGTACGGGTAATCCTTAACATTTTAGCTCCTTACCCTGTGTAACAATTTGACCTAACATCAGTCCTTTATAAGTGCAAATAAGATCCAAGGTGGAATTTTAATAGGATCACTGCAGAAGGCAGCAACTCCAGCACAAATCCTTTTAACCGTAACAGCCCTTGGAGGAGCCAGGTCTGAGCCAGGTAAAGACTAAACAGGCAAACTGTTCTCTATGTTTTATGCAGCACAAGAATCAGCCACTGATGCGTTTAATTCACTCCCAAGTAGCTGAACATAAAAACCACAGGAGGGCACCAGGCACAGAGGGAAAAATCTGTGTTTCCTTCTCCTCCAAAGCCAGCAGCAGTTCTGATGGATCATCTCTTTGCTATAAGCAAAACTGAAATTCCTTTGCACATGAATGCACCTCATCAACTTTATCCTGTTTCAGTGAAGGAAGTGAATTAATAAGGAATGCTGATTACTAATAAGGTCTGTATTCAACACCTACATCTACACAGATGCAAATTAGTGGATGTTTCAGATTTTGCCTCTTTAACTGGGAACACATTTTTTCTTATTGTTTTAGACTTTTCTAGTAGATCTTATTAAATATTGATACTTCACTGATCTGCCTGGCAAACCCCAATTCTTACACAAAGGTGGGTGAGAGGGGTGTGAACCAGCCAGAGCAAACCTGAGATACCTGGCAAATACAAGATATTCCTTGAATAAAAGTTCTGGCTTGGAGCTGCTGGAATTGGCTCTGTAGGGGGAAACTTCCAGCAGCTTTTCACAGAAGCCACCCCTGCAGCCCCCCAAAACCTTGGCACACAAACCCAATGCAGCGTCATGACATTTGGGGCTGGAACAGACTTTCTTTCCTGTCCTATTTTTACCTATAAAATCTTGTTTGTCAACATCTTCCCCAAAACACAATTCCTAATACATTTAGTGCTTCAGTGTATGCCCTGCTGACACACACTGGGAGTGGTACCTATAAACATACCTAAACCTGCCTAGGTTTTGTTTGCACAACAAAATTAATTCCCATTCATCAGTGTTTATATTGTAATAGTTTTTCCTGTAGTTAAGTAGCTTTGTTAAACCATTAATTTTACCTTAAGAATTTGTCTGGAGTTATGGTCACAGATTAAGACTTCTGGCTTGTATTTTTCATTTACTATCAGCATTCCATGAGTCACATGGATGAAAGGGTCAATAGTGGTGGTTTTTTTTTTTTTAGACTTTAAAACACTTTGAGATTTTAACAGTTGATTTAAAGTGTCTTGGTGGAACTAGATAAATGTCACGTAGAAGTACTTAGAGGCTGTGTCTTCCAAGGAGCTGTAATGTTACCATAGTTTGGTTATAAGCCATCCTCTTAAGTACTTAAACATAAAAAAGGGGTTTTCTTCCTGACAGTCAAAGCACCTATTGACTACTCATGACAACTGCCTGAATATGTTCTGCATTTATGTAATGCTTGAGGTTTAGAGGGGCAAGAGCCAGTTAAACAAGGGATGAACTCACCTGAACAAATTTGTGGGTGCTTTGCAAAGTAGTCAGAGAATTCTTGTGCCATGGGTGTATAGACTATTTTAGCTTTAAAACTCATAAAAGTCTCATTACCAGTCCCTAATTATTGTCAGAGTTCCAAACCCAATGCTGAACAAGGTGATTTTCATAGAATCAATTCATTAATCCATAATCCATTTTCTTAAGCATCACAAGGATTGCTGCATGTTTTTCATTCACTGATTGACAAAACAAGCAGCGCTGAGTACAACACCAGGAGCATGTTCTTAATCCAGCCAGGACTGGAAGTGTTTCAGAGTGAGCTAGTTGGGATACATTAGACTCTGATTCTTTTCAAAGATTCTTATGCCATTAACAAAAGGAGGGATTGGATAAGAGCCATGGGAGCTGTTTCATAACCTCCTGTGGTCTTGTTTTCCAGTTGATGTGGTGGCCACTCAGGTTCTGCTGCTGAGATGAGACATTCTGGACCAGCACAGACAGTAAAACCTTCAGTTACAACTTCTGCTTTACACTTAACCTCTGCAAAGCAAAGCCTTTTGCACATTACAGAGATATTCCCAGGGCAAAATCTAGGTCACATCAACATCCCTCCCCACTCTTTTTACACTGATAGAGCTATAATCAGTGTTTTTATCTACAAATCTATGATTTATCATTCTGAATTATACATGTCACAGTCAGATTTTTCTTGAAAACATCCTTATTTCATTGCACATGCCCAAATTAAACATTCTGTCACACACACACACACACAGCTGAGTGTATGACAGGATCACGCAGCTGAGCTGCTGTCCTTTCTCCTCTGTGAAAAGAAGCCACTACAGAGATTTCCTCCTCTTCATCAAAATAGTTAATAAAAAAAAAAAAAAAAAAAAAAAAAAAAAAAAAAAAAAAAAAAAAAAAAAAAGATCAAAATTGATTTCCGTAACATGCTTTGGCAGCAACTGAGGTGAGCAACTAAATGGGGAAAAGGGAGCCAGGGCTGTTCCCACCTGTGTTAGGAAACCACAGTCTGAGAAGAGCAATACTTCACTGGGAAGCTGAGCCAGGACTTTAACAGTTACCTCAAATCTCCAGACTTGTAAGTACAAATGCAATTACGAGATTGGCACAGACAGCAATTCAGAGGGTTCTGTGCACATACATGTTTGTGTCTTGGCTGGGAGGAAGAACAGGTAAAATTGCACTCCTTAAAAAGTGATTCAACCATTAGCTCCACAATGCCTCTTAGTGCTCCCGTTGCTCACAGGGAATCATTTGCATTGAGCTCCTCAAATGGAAGACACAAAAAGCCATCACTGCCTCTGTAGCCCACAAGTTCCTGCTATTCCAACTCATCCCACTTATGAGAAGGTTTCGTATAACTTTGTTGATTCTAGTTATGGGTTATGTTAGCTCCAAATGGCAAATATTGAAAAGGGAAATGATACAAAGGTCTCAGACCTTAAATGGTTGTCCAGAAGCAGGAAAGTAAATATAGCAAAGTAAAGCATAAAAAAACTGCCTCATCCTGCCCAATATTATAAGGTTTAAGAGATTATATGAAAAAGGATTCACAAACTTTGATTTAAAAATAAGAACAAAAGCAAAATGGTCATTATTACATGTTTGATATGAAAAACACCAAACCTTTTTTTTATTTGTACCAGATGTGGATAGGCAGATGCAAGCTGTTGGACAATATTCACAGAAGTGGAATTAGGGAAATATCCATAATTAATAGCATGCCTGTGGAAACATGTTCTCTGCTTCAAAAAGAATTTAGGTGGTATTAGAACTGGAAGAACCTCCTTACCCTGAAGATGTTGACAAATTTGAAGAAATTCCAAGCAGTGAAAAAAAAATCTGATTGGAGAAACAGATTACTTGTGCAGAAACATTAAAGGAACCCATCTTCTGCTCTCAATTACACCAATATGGTCCAGTTAAATTCAGTGGCAATGTACCAATAGAACCAGAAGAAAAGCTTGATTGAAGCATATGATATGAAGGATGTACTTAGAAATGCTCAGAGGAAAAATTCCCTTTAGGAAGGAAGGAATTGGTAAAATATTTTGGGGAAACAATAGGTCCTGTAAGATTTAAAGTGCAAAGAAGGACAATACAGCCAGAGAACGTTCCACTGCAGTAACATCTTCTAAATACCTCCTCTGGGATATTTAACAAAAGTCAGAACACAGGCACTCACTGTACAGAATAATTACACAAGGGGTCTTCAGAGAAAGCCATCAGGCAGTTCTTCCCCTGGATATTGCTGTCATTCATGGAATCCACACAATGTCTATGCTCATCTTCTCTGTGCCTACATCCGTTTTTTCTCCCCACCTTAATTCACACAGTAGTGACTAATGTATTTTGAAAATTCATCCATGCTGGATCAGTTATAAAATGTAATTGCATTGCCTGTGTGCTCTGTCTACCAGATGTTCCCGCTTGTGTTCATCAAGAACACATTGTGTAAGAAGAGCTCCTCTTACCAAAACATCCTCACCATTCTTGGTTTAATTACAATGACACTGCAAAAAATAGGGCAAGAAGTTGTTAA